CCTTGAAGACTATTATATTTTTAATGTGAGCTTTCGTGGATCACGGAAGCTCGCATTAAAATGTAAGAGTTGGTGGACCTGGTGGTGGACTTGATCCACGAAAGCGCACATTAAAATATAATAGTCTTTAAGGTGCCACATGGCTTCTTTTTTTCTTTTCTTTTCGGTTCCTTCTTTTTTCCCTTCTGGTTTCGCTGGATTTCTGGAACATAAATCTGTGCAGCTGCCGAGGCGGGGGGGGGGCACTTTTGGTTTAGCTTTTCCTGTGGTAGAAACTTTTGCAACTGGGATTAGCACGAAGGGAGCCGTGTGACCGAAGCCCAACGGCATCGCAAAGGGAGCTCTTCCATCTCCAGGATGGGAAAAGTCAGTGAGAATCGGGCTCGGAGGCGCCTCTCACATTTTGGATCTTTTATGTGGGAAGTCCTGCTACCGAAACTTCCGATCAAAACTGATTTTTTTTTCCCCTCCACGAGCGAAGAAAAGCATAGCCATAGAGACTTCGAGCGATAGAGCGGCAAGATTGTGCCCCAGTAAATAGAGACCGTGCAACAATGGAGGGATGGAGTTTATGGCTATGATGGTCTCATGGGGCGTGCGGCAAAAAAGTACGTCCCTCAGAATCAGACCTCCGTGGATTAAAAGTTCCGCACTCGACGTCTGCATCCTTTTCCTGATGAATGAAGGAGTGTTCAACGATAGCGCAGGCTCGGAGTTTTCGTTCAATGGCTATGTAAAGAGCCTTGGAAAGCAATTTATATTTCTAGCTTGGGGTGCTCCGCTTCTGCCCTTGCTAAGATCTTTCTTATGTATTTCACAGCCGTACGGCACAGTACCTGAAGAGTTAAAACCCATCGATCGCATCATCTCCTTTAAGGAGAAAAGTGTCTTTTAGATACCTTTAAATGAATATTTATTTATTTGTTATTCGATTTCTACCCCGCCCCTCTAGACAGAGTCTACTCGGGGCGGTTTACAAGCAGTTACAAAACATTAAAAGTCATCAAAGCAATCACATAATTAAATCAACAAAAGTTCAAGATGGGAAAAAGGAAAACTTAAGGAGAAAAAAATCAAGTGTTTTTATAACCTAAGTTATATATAGTCCACTTCAACAGAAGCATTGGGGGTGGGGGGAAACCTTGCACTTTTTATAGTGGAAAGGGAATATACAGACTGAACAAAAAATGGATTTGGGAGGAATACATCAGATTCCCAGTGAGGTGTCGTGGATGGACTAATCTTCGCTCGGCCATGGGAACTCACGGGAGTGTGGAACTGGTAAAACCACTCCTGAAATATCTTACTTTGAAAGCCCTATTACGGTCACTATAAATTGGTTTCGACCTGACAGCACAGAACACACTAACTAAGGCACACACACATCGGTTAGAGTTAAAGAAAAAAACTTAAGTCCAAATGCTACAGCTACACGACTGGGCAACATCCACATTTCTCTCCAAAGCAATTGCGGACCAAATCAAAAGTAATACCGAGAATCAATGCATGTATTTCGAAACTAGTACTAGGAGTGTTTCCCAGCCCATTCGGTGCATCATCCAAACCATCGCTGACGCGACCCCCCCCCCTCCCCTCCCCTCCCTTTTAACCAAACCAAACGGGCATCGGGGTCTCCACCCCTCCTCGAGAGCAGGCGAGCCTTCCCCTTGGAGCAGAAGGGAACTGGTCGATGATGTGAGCCAAATCCCCGCAGCCTTAATTTCAATTGCTTGTGTGTGGGGGGGGGAGGTTGTGGTTTGTTGGGTGTGTGTGTGTGTGTTTTGCTCCCCTCCCGCCTCCCATTGCCTCGTCTTCCTCCGGGGTCCTAGAGCTCTCCCTTCTCCCCCCCCCCTCCAATGGAACTGCAGAGAAAAGGGAAAGCTAATAGACAAAGGAAAGAACAGGTAAGGACTTGGAGGGCGACTTTTTGGCAAGCTTTCCTCAGGTATGATTTAATGCCGTCTCTTAATGTCTTTCTGCATGGAGCAAAGGATCGGGATGCAAAACCTCGCGTTGCATTCTCCCCCCACTCACACACACACAACACATACACACACGCACGCACCGGCCTTTGCATGTCTCTTTCCCCCCCGGGCGGCCACCTCCCTTGGTCCTAAAGACAGCCATTTTGCGAGCCATCGCCTGCGCTGCTTTGCTAAGCCTGCCCAGCCCGGAGGGGCGTGGAGGGCTTGAGGGTTTTTTTGGGGGGGGACCCCCCGATCAAGAATTGCCAAGGGGATCTTTTAATCTGTGTATATGAAAAGCGAAAGAGATGCGGGCTTCTTTATACAATCCTTTATTTGTGTCTCTCTCTGTGTGTGTGTGTTCCTTGGTCCTAGAGACGGTCGTTTTGCTTGGCTGGTGCCAGACGCCACCTTTTGTGTATCTCGTAACTGTGACCCTACCTCGGAAAAATCCAGTTTTCCTTTGGAAAACCTCTGTTTGTAATTACTGCCGTGATCCTTGGGCAGCCTTAAAGAAAAAAAATTTTTTTTTACTGCGCCTACGATTCTTACCTTCAAGGCCGCTTGGTTAGAGAGGACATGAGTTGTAATCCAAACGAATTTATTCCGTATTTTTCCTTCTTTTTTTTTTTTTACAAAAAAGTACCCCAAGACCTTTGGTTGCCCACTGGAAACTGATCATAATGGTTTCTTGTTCAGTACATTCCCCCATGCACACAAAAGATGGGTGTTCCGTTCCTTTGTCTCTTCCAGTTATTTATTAGAACAGATAGAAATGCTTTTTAGAAAGGCGATGCAATATATTCACCACATAAGGACGATTCCTTCACCCTCGCAGGTCTATCTAAATTATAAGCCAGAGGAGGGAGGTTTCTTATTTTCCAGACAGGACGACCTTGGTTTTGAGTGGAAACCATCCTTTGCACATTGGTCTGGTGAAAATTGCTAGGCTTTTGTTTATTGCCTCTTTCTCTGTATTCTGTATATTAATAACACATTTATTTTTATTTATTTATTCCATTTATTTCCCGCCTATTTGGTCCATTTTATTTATTTATTTATTTATTTAGTCCATTTATTTCCTGCCTATTTGGTTAATTACTATACTTCCAATAAATTTTATAGATTTGCCTCTCAAGTTGTTAGATGATAAATTAATATATGTGTGTATTCATACATTTATCCATTTACTGGTATTTCTGCTTCATTAGTGCCCTTCCATCCATCTTCATCCCAACAGCATTCATGTGATGAAAGTCTTTAGAGGTCCTGGTTATTATAATCTAATTACTGTACTATATTTTCAAAAAAATCAAATACCCTTAAGAGTGTTTTAACAGGCTTTTTCATATCAAGAGACTCAGGATACTGTAGCACAGATGCATCCGAAAATACAGGCAACAACATATATAGATGTTTGTGAGGATGGAAATAAAAGTTTTCTCCTGACCACCATCCTGCCCTTAAACCAGGGGCTGATGCCCAGAAATTTCTTGTAAATTAAGATGAGAGAAATGTCGAACACCCCAGGATTGCAACAGGCCTGCACTCAGATATCAAATTTGCAATCTGGCAGTCATCAGGCAGGGCTGTATAGCAGTTTTTACCCTGCTCCTGGACCATGTCAAACCTTTCTCTTTGGGTGTTGGGCACAGTTTAAGGACATGGAGAGCAGGAGAGGCATCTGGATGGATCTGACGGGGAATCCGAGACACAGGGTAATTGGCAGAGATCCTACAGTATAAAATGGGCACTCCAGACACGCTCAGAGACATTGTCATGTGATTTCATCTACGAACCAGCCTTGTGGGTAGATTCCAGGACTCAGCCTTGGCTCCATTAAAGTGATGAAGAGAGGAAAGACTTTTCCTTGTAAGCATTCTACGAACCAGCCTTGTGGGTAGATTCCAGGACTCAGTCTTAGCTCCGTTAAAGTGATGAAGAAAGACTTTTCCTTGTAGGCATTGTTTGTGTGTGTGTGTGTTATTTCATGGAATCATCACTCCCAAATGGTTCCCTTTCTCCCTCTTGAAGACCCTAGAGGCATCTGCATTTCGAGATGCTTTCCTCTAGTCGTCCCTCTTTTTCTTCTCCCCTGGATCCTAAATCCAGCCATTTTGCAAAGAGCACCACCCAAACGATGGGCGAGGAAGCAAAATGTGTTATGGTTGACTGAAGAAGCATTTTTCTCTCCCACCACCGCCTCTCTCTCTTGTTTCTCTCCCACCCTATCTCTTATCTTCTGGATTTTTCTCTACTACAGAATGGCATTTGGGAACGGCTTTGCAGAAGTAGGGTACACTTACTTGTCGTGTTTCATTTGCAGATCTGTTACACTCTGACTGTAGACCAGTGTCTCTTTTATGTAAACTCCTTACCTGTTCATCGTTTTGCAATAGATAGCTGTATCTCTCTCAGTGTCATGATGACTGTAAAAAAAAACCCAACAACCTTCCCTTAGTCTTCCCCAAACTGGGGCGCTCCAGACGGCATGTCTTATTATCTCTGTCTAATAGCAAGCTGGCCAGGGACTGCTGGGAAATGAAGTCCAAAAGATCTGGAGCCCTTGTGTGGGAAGGCTACCCTAGGAATCTGTGATCCTGACCACACTCCTTACACACACACACTTGCATGTCACTGTATGGAACAACCCTACCTCCAACTCCTACAGAGTGCTCTTTGCCAGTCTGATGCTCTCTATCAAGCCTTCAGTGACTTTATGTTATCATCCAGGTATAAAGGCTAATGGTTGATAACCTTAGTTTCCGTAAAAAGAGAGAGGGTTCCGTAAAGAATTTGGGAGGCGGAGATTGGACAATAATCCAGACTCCTTCAACTGGTATAGCGATCGACTGTACTGACTGAGGGATTCTGGGAGTTGTCCAAATGAGTCTGTTTTCTAAGCTTTGTTTCTGCAGCTCAAGTCCACATAGCCCCATAACCTGGTTATTATGGGTGCTGCTTATGCCGCTTACTCGCAAGGCACAGAGTGCTGGACGAGGTTCCCTTTCCCACTCTCATGTATATTCTCACAACAGTCCTGTGAGGTCGGTGAGGCTCCGAGGCAAAGGCTCACCCAAGATGATTCAGCAAGCGTCAGAGGTGCAGAAGGATTTGAATCCAGGTCTTTTGACCCTAAATCCAACACCCCTAAGCACAGGGGAGAGCAAATTAGATTCCCTGAGACCACCCTGCAAAACACGCTTGCCTAAAACCCGCCAATCATGCTCTGTAGAAATCCTCCAGCGGGTTGCAGATGGCCACTTTAGAGGGGCTCATGAACTTCTTTTAGAGCGGAGGGAGCTTTGTGTCAAGACCAGGGAAATCTAACTACAGCACAGTTGAATTCTGGTGATGGGATTCCTTTTTGATATTGGCTCCCGTATCTGTTTCAGGCTGTGTCCTCTCCAAAGATGGCTGAGGCTGGGGATGAAGAGGCGGATATAGAGGTGAAGCTAGAGGAGGAGGAGGAGGAGGAAGAGGAGGAGGAGGAAGAAGACCCCGGCTACATTCAATCTGGCAGGCGATATAAGTGTCTGACTTGCAGCAAGACCTTCCCGAGTGTGCCCCGAGTGTTGCGCCACCTGAAGTCCCACGTGGCCATCCCGGGCGATGATTCGGCTAGCAAGCTCGCTTGCCCGAGCTGCCGGAAGGAGTTTCCAGATCGCGCTCAGCTCCGCAAACATCAACTCAGCCACCAGACGGAGCGCCCGTTCCAGTGCCAACTGTGTGCCAAGGCCTATAAAACAGCACCCGAGCTGCGCAACCACGGCCGCAGCCACAGCGGAGAGAAACCATTTGTGTGCCATGAGTGCGGGAAGGCATTCATGCAGCCGGTCTGCCTCCGGGTCCACATGGCCCGGCACACGGGAGACCTGCCTTTCCGTTGTCAGCAGTGCCACAAAGGCTACAGCACCCTCTCCAAGCTGAAGATCCACCAGCGCTCCCACACGGGGGAGAAGCCCTATTCCTGCGGGGAATGCAACAAGCGGTTTGCCGACCCCTCAGTGTTCCGGAAGCATCGCCGCACCCATGCCGGCCTGCGCCCTTACCAGTGTGAGGTGTGCCACAAGACCTACGCTGAGCTCAAAGACCTCAAGAACCACGAGCGCTCGCACACAGGCGAACGGCCCTTCTTGTGCCAGGACTGTGGGAAGGCCTTCTCCCGCTCCTCTTCCCTCGCCTGCCACCAGCGCATCCACGCAGCCCACAAACCGTACCGCTGCAACGTCTGCGGGAAAGGCTTCACGCAGCTTTCCTCCTTCCAGAGCCACCAACGCACCCACTCCGGGGAGAAGCCCTTCCTGTGCCCGCAGTGTGGCCGAATGTTCAGCGACCCCTCCAGTTTCCGCCGGCACCAGCGGGCCCATCAGGGCCTGAAGCCCTACGCCTGCGATAAGTGCGGGAAGGCTTTCCGCCAGCCGGCCGACCTGGCCATGCACCAGCGCATTCACACGGGCGAGAGGCCCCACAAGTGCCCCCAGTGCGACAAGAGCTTCGTGGCTTCATGGGACCTCAAGCGCCACCTGCTGGTTCACTCAGGGCAACGCCCGCACCAGTGCGGGGAGTGTGGCAAGAGCTTCGCCGAGCGAGCCAGCCTCACCAAGCACTACCGTGTCCACTCTGGCGAGCGCCCGTTCAAGTGCAGCCGCTGCGGCAAAGCTTTCGTGGTGTCCTCCAGCCTCCGGAAGCACGAGCGTACCCATGCTAATGAGAATCACGACGACAAGCCCGTCTCCCTGAGCAGCCAAGACCTGCCCGCTGGGGACCAGTCGACCATTGTCGTGGCCACCGTGATCCCTGCTTGTGGGGAATGTGGAGAGACTTTCCCCTCTACTCAAGAACTGCGCCGCCACGAAAAGCTACTCCACCCTGGCTTGCGCCCATTTCCATGCCCAGAATGCGGCAAAGGCTTCTCAGACCGGGCAGGGTTGCGTAAACACGAGCGCATCCACTCGGGGGTTCGTCCCCATGCCTGCCCCCACTGCTCTAAGGCCTTTCTGGGTGCCTCTGACCTGCGCAAGCACCTCAAGACCCACATGGGCCTCGAAAACAGGACCGCTGAGGACACCGTGGTGACGGCCACCCTCACCACCTACGAGCCGCTCCTCCCTGCTCACATCCACCACCACGAGGAGCCGCCAGAGGGCGACAAAGAGCCCCCCTCGGATTGTCTTCCTGAAGCTCTCACAGAACCTTCTTAAGCTCTTCTCTGTTTTCTTGCATTCGGTTAAGCGGCTCGGAGGTAGCTTACCTAATCCCGGGGGTCTGCCTATCGTTCTGAGCCTACAGCGTTGCCTCCTCCTGCGTAATGTGTGGTGGACATCACTTTTTTCAGAGCCTGTCTTGCGGGACATGTCTCTTCCTAGGTTCTCAAGCATTTCTCTGCTAAAAGGGGGGCAGATAGGCTTCATAGCCCCCCACCGTTTTCCATAAGTGGGAGTGGGCTCCATTTCCCAAGCAACCCATGCCCTTTCCGTTCAACGGCAGACCAAAACAAAAACTGGTATTAGGGGGAAACCATGCTCTTAAAAACAATGATACCACACCCCAACCAATCTGGAAGGGAAATTATTGCAGGTGTGGTTAAACACGTGCGTTTCAACCCTACGCTGTTTGTTATAAGTCCTGCAGCAGGGATGTGTGGCGCTGTTGTGGTCCGATGGTTTAAAATCCTACACCGAATGTGGTTTTTGGAGAAGGGAAGCTGGATTAAACTGCAGGAAGAGAGACAAAGCAGGCTCCCGTCTACCTTACTTCAGCTTCCAGGACAATTCTATAACTCTGTTTCATGCTTGTACGAACAGAATGAAATAAAAATCATGTAATTTTTTAAAAAAAGAAAAATAATACTTGAAGTCTTATGTGACTTGCACTTTTGTGGCTACAGAAAGCAGAACAGCATTTACCTCTTTTACTGTATCTGCTGGAGGTATCTCCTATTCAGGAGTCCTGTAGTTTTCTCCTTCTGTATAATCCCACAACTGCTTGAGGTTTCTCAGCTCCTCACTGCCCTTCCAGAGAGCTCAGTGGTTTAGGTCTCTGGCTGTGGAGCCAGAGGTTGGGAGTTCAATTCCCCACTTGTGCCTCCTTGACAAGGGCTGGACTTGATGATCTATAGGATCCCTTCCAGCTTTGCAGTTCCAAGGTGGTTCATAGCAAAAAAATATTGGTTCTTATACCATTCACTTCTGATGACAAAGCCTCTTATCTGCTGTGAGGGTGGGATGTTCAGTGGTTCAGGATCCCAAATCATTTGATATCCAGGCCCTCTCAGGGAAAGGAAACTTGTCATCCTGGCTGAGCTGTAGGCCTCACATGGGATGGCTGGGAAGTGATCCTGGGGGTATTTTATTTTATTTCATTGGCTGCCTCTCTCCTGATAAGAGGACCCAAGGTGAGCCATAATATTAAAAACAGAATTAAAAACAGAATAAGTTAAATTGGTTATTGTAGGTTTTTCGGGCTGTCTGGCCGTGTTCTTGAGGTTTTTCTTCCTAACATTTCGCCGGCCTCTTCGGAGGATAGGAGTCAAGAACTCCAGAGGGCAGACATTGGGTGGTAAACCTTCTGTGGCCGTCCTCTTCAGAGGACAGGAGTCAAGAACTCCAGAGGGCAGACATCGGGTGGTAAAAAGGTGGCATTCTATTATCTTTGGGACTTCCAAACCCCAGAATCTCCAGCCTGTACTGCCAGTGATGAAGAACTATGGAGGTTGTAGTCCAAAACAATGGTTCCTAACCATGGGTAACCAGCTATGCTGGTCAGGGCTTCTGGGAGCTGCAGTCCAAGAACACCTGGGTTGCCGAAGGGGTAGGAACCTCAGATGGTAAAAAGGTGGCATTCTATTATCTTTGGGACTTCCAAACCCCAGAATCTCCAGCCTGTACTGCCAGTGATGAAGAACTATGGAGGTTGTAGTCCAAAACAATGGTTCCTAACCATGGGTAACCAGCTATGCTGGTCAGGGCTTCTGGGAGCTGCAGTCCAAGAACACCTGGGTTGCCGAAGGGGTAGGAACCTCAGATCCAAAACAGCAGTCCAAGAACACCTGGGTTACCGAAGGGTTGGAACCTCTGGTCCAAAACATCTGGAGCTCCAAAGCTTTGCCAACCCTAGATAGGGGATCAACTGAGAAAATGAACCTGAAGGAAAGATATTTGTGGAACATAGCTTGAGAAAGGAAAGGGAAGAGGTGAAAGAAGATAAGAGGAGACTCAGGAGAGCAAACTCTGGAGAAGCAAAGGGTTTTTAAAAAGAGATCTGTGGAGCAAGAGTAGAAAAATTGTTAAGTAGAGAGTGTCCTGAAAAGGCTATACCTGTGTAAACAGTGGGTGGTGATCTGGAGCTGAAAGGAAGAGCCATAGAGGAAGGAAGGGTGCTCCTGAATTTAAATATGGAGCCTGGAGACCTACAATGAACAAGTAGGGGACAAGGCCCAGCAACTGAGCTGCGTTGAGAAATTAATATTATTATTTATTATTTATTTTATTTATATCCCGCCTATCTAGTCCCTCAGGACCACTCTAGGCGGCTTACAACAGACATATAACAATATAAAACAATTTTAAATAAGGGGAAGAACATTAAACAAGATGGGGCAAACGCTAGGAGAGAAGAAAAAGGGAAAATCAGGAATTAGCTGAGGGGAAGGCCTGCTGAAACATCAGTGTTTTTAATTGATTTTTGAAAATACCCAGCGAGGGAGCCGTGCGAATGTCAGGGGGAAGGTTATTCCAGAGGCGAGGAGCCACTGCCGAGAAGGCCTGATTTCTTGTCTTTTCTTTCCAGGCCTGTCTTTTCTTTCTCCTCCTGCCATTGCAGCATTGAGACTTGATAACACATGACCACCAGGGGCAAGAGGTTCTGGGGCATTGGTAGAACTGAACATCATGTGTTGCTTTCAATGAATCGCCTCACACGTATATTTTCAGCCATTTCATCTTAGTCTCCCACACACTTTTTTTCCCCTCACGGCAGGAGTCTTGGTCAGCCCTGGCTTTACAGTACACGAGCAGTGCTTGTATGACAGCTTGGAAAAAGCTTCTTTTATGGATTACAGATACCGAAAGAAGTATTTTCTTCCCCATGCTCTGGACTGTACCTGTGACAGAATAACCAGCACCCACTTCCAGGGTTGGTGGGTGGGAAACCTGAGGAGGACATGATCTTAAAAAGCAAGGAGAGAAACTGCCCGTATTTGGGCCTTGGCTTTCAGAAGATCCATTTCTTTATGATCATCTGCTCTTCTTCTTAAAAACTCACTGCTTCATTGGTGGTTTCCTCATGCTTCACAATGCCCACCGCTCCCTCCTTCCTACGTTCTCTGTGGCTGTAAGTGTGAAAACAATAAAACCCACCCAGAACATCATTACTGAAGGAGTTGCGTTGCTTAGTGAGTCACAGGAAGGGCTTGCCAAAAATAAATATTTTTCTGCCTGAGGCAAAGGATAGGATCCCCACCCTACCCCGCGTTCAGTGTTAAAACATTGTGCTAATTTACAACACCTTTTTTGTATGTTTAATTTTATATTATACCCTTTGTATCCTTTTAAAATCCTTTTTGGGCATAAGAAGGTATCAAACTGATTCGGTTTAGAGAGGGGGGTATTTGTATTTGTATCGCCATGAGGATCTGGCCCCCGGGACTGGATCGTCGACTCACAAAACTGATTCGGTTTAGAGAGGGGGGTATTCGTATTTGTATCGCCATCACAGTTGGCCCTAATGAGGATCCGGCCCCCGGGACTGGATTGTCCACTCACGCGTCCTGTTGTGGTGTCAGTCCCGCTCGTCCTGCCAATGGCTGCCTGGAACTCTGCTCTCTTCCTACTCGCTGGCCACTCCAGAGAGGGGACAAGAGGACGGGTCTCCCCGCACGGCTGGACTCCAGAGAGGGGACAAGAGGACGGGTCTTCCCACACGGCTGGTGAGTGGCCAGCCGAGCAGGAAGAGAATGGAGCTGTGGAGTCCATTCGTCGGACGAGCAGGACCAGCACTGGACATGTGAGGCCGGACCCTCATTAGGGCCAGCTGTGATGGGGATATTCATATTCATCTACAAATACTGTACAAATATTCCCATCTCTAAATTGGTTCCATGTCAAGAGAGCTATCCCCGCTTTGGTGTTAAGCAAAAATAGTGTCTGGGTGCACAAACAGAACTTGGTGTTTTTTTAAAAAAATAGTGTTTTCTTTAGTTTTGTGGGCCATCTCTGTATCACCATTGCAGCAAAACACATTTGGAATCAAATAGCTCTGGCCAGGCCTTGCTTCTGTTGAGATGCACAGAGTAGTGGTTAGAGAAGACTTCCCCAAATGGTATGCACGCCCACCAGAAGGGTGGGATAACAACTCCCATCATCCCCAGCCAGCACAGCCAGTGTCAGCTGAGGACTGTAGCCCAACCACTATGGGGAGATGGTCGGGGTAGAGCATAGGAGGGCAAGACGGTTCAGATCCCTCCCTGCTTCAGCCATGATAATGACAGGATAACATTGAGCTGGGGGTTGCTTGGAAGATTAAAATTAAAATAGAAGGTCCATGTGCCCTGTGCTTTTTGATGGAAACATAGGGCTTTTACATGCAATCAACTATTGGCCCGTGGTTGTGTGAGCTGCTGATATTCTGCACCAACATACCCTCAATACCTCTTTATATGCTCTTAGGAGGGCAAACCTCAGAATCACACGTTCTGTCCACTTCTCACAATCTGAGATCCATGACAGTATCACATCTGAGGTGAGGTTTCCCCCCTTCCCCCTGCTCAACCTTGACATCCTGTCTGTGGGAGGTAAACTCAAGCGGATGCGCATGTACATAAACACATCTTCCCTGTCTACTGACATCCAGATACGCATACAGCCTGAACCTGGTAATCTTCCTTCCCTTCTCCTGCAGTCAAAGGTACGTACTTGCGGATGGATCCACAGTAGGGGGATGTTGACTTGATCTCTGTGCAAATGGGGAGAAGACAGGTGGAAATAACAGAAATTAAAAGTGGATTTTTATTCTGTTTTTGCTTAACCTGGGAACGGGGCTGGGAACAGGCTATGCAGGATACCAAAACTTGCCCCCCTTCTCAAACCCTGCTCACCTTCCAGCTTTTGTTCAATTTCAGCAGCATCCTCAAGTTTTAAAACCCAGCTCTACAACCTGAAGGATTAGAAATACTATACTTTGTTTTGTAAAGAAGTGTTGGCCTTCTTGAGTTGTTGAATTTCATCATGGGCTATCAAGTCCCTTCTGTCTTACGGTAATCTTTTTCATGGTCATCTGGATGCAGAATACCCAGAACAGGTTTATTATTCCCTTCTTCTGGGGGCACCCCGGGAATGTGTGGCTTGCCCAAGGCCACACAGGCTGGCTCTACTTTACAGGAGACGACATGGGAAATCAAACTCCCAACCTCTGGCTCTGCAGCCAGATATCAAAACCACTGAACTGTCCAGCCAGCTGAATTTCATGTATAGATCTATTATTTTCTGTGTCTTTCCATGCTTCTGCTTGGGAGTTTGTTTATGCCTCATAAGAAACACACCTGCTGGAATTCTTGTCCTTTAGAACTCATCGCTTTCTCATTCAGGTCTCTAAATGGTGTATCTTTGAGTAGGGTAGTAGAGGACGCCCCTTCTAGCACGTGTAAGTAAGTGGAGACACAAGAGCGGTAAGAGCCCCCCCCCAGTTCACGGTTTGCCCTTGCACATGTACTACAGTGGTTGAGTTGCAATGCTGCTTATTTATAGCATTTATGCTTCACAGTTAGAAAGACTGCCAGAGGAGCTTACTTATTTATACAAAAAGGCAAGACAGTCCCTGCTGTCATTTTTTACAGTATGAAGTGCAGCACACAAAAGGAAAAGAAGATGGGGAGGGAAAAGGAAAACAAGAACATTCATCCACACATCCTTAATATGTGGTGCCTCCGCATGCTGGAATTGTGTTTAACGCAAGGCTGGGAATCATGTACTGTACAGTATCTTTGGGCCATTTTCTCCTCTACAGTTTCTGGATCGTGGCCCCACAACAAAGAAGTGAAGAATAGAATCTGGATTTTCCATATCCCAGTCCAGCATTCTAATCACTATACCTATGGGTCCCATGAAGCTCATATGCAAGTCATAAAGAGCACACACACCCTTTCTTGCACATATTCTTCTTTATAGGTATATTTATAGGTATATTGGCTTTCTACAATGACGCTACCACAAATGATAACTCCTTGCTTCTTTTGCAAAGAACAGCACTATTGGGTCACATTAAAGAGCCATCTGTACTCTAGCACTCCGGTCCCCACAAACAGAGGCCAACTGAACACACCAACGAAGCTGACAAGCTGAGCCTGAAGGCCATAGTCCTTTCCTGCAGTTGATCCCCAAAAAACAGTATTGAAAGGCAGACGGCTCCCTAAGCCTGGAGGAATCATTTGGATACCTCAGTTAAAGCCCATGTTAGACCCATCCTCCATTAATTCGTTCAATCCACTTTTAGTACAAGTGGCCACCATTACGTTGTGCATCGGCATGAGCAAAAATTCATAAAGTAATTAAGCCATTTTGTTTTGTTTTTTTAGAATTGATCTTTCAGGTCTCAAATTAACATGGCTGCACTTTTGAATTTGATAGGTATCTCACTCAAAGGTTTGTTTCTGGGCACAATTCAAAGTGCTGGCTATGACCTGTTAAACCCAAATTGACTTCAGCCTCTATTGTTTGGATAAGACCCTTTGCCTGGTCCCTCCACGACACTCTTGGAAATAATTTCCAGGGGATAGTATCCTGCTCCCTTTCTGCCAGGTCAGCAGCATCCCATTTCCTAAGATTTTAGGGCCCAAAAGCCTGTGACCAGGGAGAAGCTCCTGTGATGTCACGGAGGTAGGGAAAGCAACAGTTAAAAGAGAGACCATTCTATACTTAATATTCATTCATTCATTCATTCATTCATTCACTTGATTTCTACACCACCCATCTGGCTACTAAGGCCACTACTAAGGTTCACAACAAAATAAAACCTCAATAAGAAGATTTAATAATAACAACATAAACACCAAAACAATATATATATATATATTAAAGAAATGAACATATCTGCCACTATTGTTACTGGTTCTTAAACCAGAAAGCACAGGGATTGCTGTTTTGGTGCTGTTCTCTGTATGTATATCCTTTGGCCTGTTGTGCTGCTTGCAGTGATACAGAATCATCCTACTGTTGAGCCAGGGAGTTCTGCTGCCACTTGGTGAAGACAGACGCCCATGCTGCTTGTTCTTTCTTCTATTGGTGTGTTTTCATTTTGCTTTCTGTCTTAATTGCATTCCTCGGAAGCCTTCTTTTAAGCTGAGCCAATCAATCAATCAGTCAATAAATCCACTTGTCATGATAGCCACCCCTTTCTCTTTCATGTGTAGGTTCCGCAATGCTGAAAACGAACCATCCCTCTGCAGCTTTTCTGTACCTTCCGGTCTTCCTTTTCCTCCCTGCTATCTCTCCCCAATGCCAGACCGCCCCAGAGGACCGCTGTCAGGAACATAAGGATTTTGTGCCGGGCCACAACTTGGCTGGGGAGGGTTTTGACATAACAACCCTAGAGAAGAAGGGGGCCAGAGTGTTGGACATGAGTCTGTGGCAGAAGCCAGACGGGACTTGCGTTTTGTGCCAGAACCCACTGCTGGAAGGGAAGCCACTCCAGAGACTCCCGTTGGCCGCTGCTGACTGGGAGGCCAAAGTCATGTGCCAGAGGAAAGTTCACACCTCCTCGCAGAACTCGGGCCTCTCTGTGGTTCAAGGAGCCTCATCCGATGTGCAAAATGACTGGAAGGTTGGGCTGAACGTGGAAATCCATCCGAATGCTAAAGCCGAGGTGTCATTGGCCGGATCGCACTCCAAGGTGGCCGACTTCAGCATGGATAAAAGCTCCCGGGACAAGTACACTTTTGCAAAGCATGAGGTGTCCTGCTCTTATTACAGGTGAGGAAGGAGTGGGGAGATGTGGGGCAAGGGAGTGGGTAAGTCTATAAGGTCTTTAGTTGGCTTTCATTGCTGGGGGCTGCCATTTTCCCCAGGGATGCTTGAGTAAAATGAACATGTCAAACCCCAATTGAAGGCGCTCTACAATCTACATGATCTTAGCTAACCTAAAGGCAGACTTACAGAGCAAATCACAGAAGTCTACACTTTGTTTATAGCTGACAAACATTTTCTAGGTTCCTCACAGCTGACAATATCCCAGTAAAGAGTTAATACCAGAATGACATCAGGCAATCACAGACAAGCATTTCCAACCTTCATCTGGGTATCCTAATACACTGGTTCTTAACCTTGGGTTACTCAGGAGTTTTGGACTGCAACTCCCAGAAGCCTTCACCACCAACTGTGCTGGCTGGGGTTTCTGGGAGTTGCAGTTCAAAAACATCCGAGTAACAAAAGTTAAGAACCACTGTCCTAATACAAGTACTGTAGTTTCTTTGTTGTTTCCAGGCAACTTCCAAACTTCTATTTTTCTTCTCCAAATTTTGTCTCTGTATTTTCAAAATATAGGAACAAAATACAAGCAAATAGCAGAAAGAATGTTTCAAGTTACATTTTTTAAAACATAGGAACTTATAGCCTAGAAAGGCACAGAATCAATCTCTTTGAAAGTTGACATGATATACTTCAAAAGATGCAAAAGCTTTTTTAAAAATGCATGAAGAAATATCAACGTTCTTGTAAGGAGAAGGTGTAAAATAAAATGAATTATTTAGCTCTAAACATATTAAGACACACAGGAAAACATTTCTGAACAAATTTCGCCCAAGCTCATCATTTCAGTTTAAGTGAAATCCATTGTTTAACTCCCAGAATCCTGCAACTAGTTACATAAAATTAAAAACTGGCTTTTGGGCTTAGAAAGTAGGAAATATTAATAAAGTTTGATTTCCCAGTTTGAATATGCAAAACTACTTTGTTGTCCATATACCACGAAATGGATTTATGCTATTTTTGTTGTTGTTGTTCTAAGATAGTGATTGCTCATTGTAGGAGATACCAACTTCTTGTGAACTGCCCAGAGATATGTTTACTATCCAGTATCTCCATTCTGTTGCATTTATTTCACAGCTTCCGTGTCAGCCATCACTGGCCACTCACCCAGCATTTCAAGCATGCCCTGAAGAACCTCCCTCGAACGTACCAACGCGAATCTCGGCTGGAATACCGCCAGCTTATCGAAACTTACGGGACTCATTTTATAACACGCCTTCACTTGGGGGGGCGGGTGAGGGATGTGACCGCTTTGCAGGTGTGTAAGTCAGTGCTGGACGGAGTGAACGCTGATGAGATCAAAGACTGCCTGGCCATCGAAGCAGCTGCCAGTATTGGGGCTGACAAAGGGAAGATGGATGCAACCTACAAAACATGTGAAGAGCTAAAGAAAAGAAGTAAGTTCCATGGCGACTTCCACCAGATGTACAAGGAGAGGTACACAGAGGTCGTGGGCGGTCATGGTCACATGGACCTGCTTTTTTCTGATGACCAGAACAAAGAGTTGTTCAAAGAGTGGTTGGAAGGCCTCAAGTCTATGCCTGGCCTACTCTCCTACCATCTACAACCCATCCATAACCTGGTGCCCAAGGCGGATCCTAAGAGAGAGGGCTTAAAGCAGGCAGTGAGTGAGTATGTGACTGAAAGAGCCCTATGGAGGAACTGCAGCCATCCTTGCCCACCGGGAACCCAACGTAGCCCTCGGGACCCCTGCTCCTGTATATGTCACAGTGACAGCACCACTGATACTATGTGTTGTTCAAGGAAACGAGGACAGGGTAAACTCACAGTGACCATTCAACGTGCCCATGGATTGTGGGGAGACCATTTCACACACACCGATGCTTACGTCAAGGTGTTTTACCAAGAAAGGGAGATTCGCACACCCACCATTTGGAACAATAACAATCCGGTATGGAACGTCCACTTAAACTTGGGAAATGTCCAGGTCTTGGGAGAAACTAGCAAGATTCGACTACAAGTCTGGGACGAGGACAACAAATGGGATGATGATCTTCTGGGATCATGTGACCAAATACTGCAGAGCGGGAAGCCACATGATGAAGTCTGTTACTTTACTCATGGAAGCCTGTATTTCCAACACCACTTGGTCTGTGGCCCCTACCTTGGTGGCCCCTTCTGCCTAGATTATGTGCCTCAGCAACCAAAATATGTGGGTGCTCTGTTACAGCGTAAGGGCAAAGCAGATCCTGTGACAAAGGCTCCCTGAGTAAATAAACCTCTGCTTTTGTCCAAGAATGGAGACTCACAGGTGGTACTTACCGTGTTTCCCCGAAAATAAGACAGGATCTTATATTAATTTTTGCTCCAAAATTGCATTAGGGCTTGTTTTCAGGGGATGTTTTATTTTACAGTCATGTTATCTTCTTCTGGTTGCTGCACAATGCTGCACAAGGGTGGAGGGCAGGGTTTCACTTAACTGGGACTTATTTTTGGGGCAGGGCTTATATTCCAAGCATCCTGAAAAATCATACTAGGGCTTATTTTCAGGTTAGGTCTTATTTTCAGGGAAACAGGGTCTTTCTAAAGCACCATCTGATTTCCTTCTCGAGTGGCAACGGTCAAACCTACAGAAGGTCACCAGAGATGCATTGGGCAAAGCTCCTGTAGTTACAGATCTGTCAACTTTGAAAGCATCTCCAAAGACTTTATTCTGCCCTCCCCACCTGTTAATCACTGTACAAGCTGAACTTAAAGGAGCAGCTTTGGATCAAGAACAGATCAACTCTGCATTGACTCTATATTGGCAATATCAGTAAACATTGCACAAATAAAGTGCACCTGCATATACTCAGTTGTTTGCCAAAGAGTTTGTGTGTGTGTGTGTGTGTGTGTGTGTGTGTATAAGGAAACACAAACAAACAAATATTTCCCAAGGAACAAAAACAGAGATTCTCAGGATGCTGAATCCAAACAAAGGCATTGCCTGTTTCTGCATCAGGAAACGTGCAGAACTTAGTTTCAGGTATAATCACTCAGAATTTAGAAGTTACATGTATTAGAGAAGTTAGCTGCAAAACTTATAAAAGGAAATAAAAAGATCAGAACAAAAGTCACATTTCAGAACACAATGAGTGAGGACAAGATCACTACTGGTGTCTTGAATAATTTTTTTTCTAGATACTTTTCAAAGTTAAATGTTCACAACCATTTTGAAAAGAATTTACGTTTTATGCCCATTCTATTACAAGTCTTAAGGGTATGATGTGTTGTTTTTTTTTTAAAAAAGAAACAAAAACAGACAGAATGGCAATAAGCAATGCAAAAAATTATTTTCTTAACATGGTAAGGGAAAACATTACTTTTCAAATATTATAATGATTTGCAAGGATGTATGGTTGAATTCTCTCTCCTTCCAGTTCTGCAATTAGTGCCCACATGTGGCACGGCAGCAATATGAACTGAAGTCCCGATGGCCCCATATCTCTTACCAAGTATACTTGAGATGTGTTAGCATGGAAGCAAGCACGTTTTTAAAGAAGTAATGATGCTTTAAATACAGCTCTGTTTCTCATATTATCCAGAGCTTTTTCTGATCTCAAACTATACAACTGCTTGTTTCTACAGCACTGTCATTTTGAGCCACAACTGTCATGATCCCACAACACTGACTGTGCTGTGCCAGCTACAGCCGATGCACATTGCAGTCCAACATTGGAAGGAATACTGATGCCGAGCTGATGAGCATATTTTACAACAGGGAGTGGGGAAGTAAGAGTTCTTCCAGAACAGACAATTGTTACTTCTTTGCCATCTAAAGCTATAGAGAGGGGAAAGACCACCAGACAAATTTCTCCGCACCCACCCACCCAGGCCATAAATGAAAACTGGAAGCTTCCTCACTGGCAATATAGTTAATCCTTGAGCCCGTGTCTGTACAATTTGCAATGTAGTTTGTACAATAATGCTCTGCAGCTTTTGTACATGTTATTCTAAAATTCGGTGCATGTGTGGATAAAAGCTTGGTGAGAGATTTTTCTTTTTAAAGTTCCAGCCAGGAGTGACCCTGGCAAGCAGAGAATCTTAGGATCTATGATTTCATTAACTGAGAAGCTTGCACTCTGTCACTCTTGCATCTGTAAGAATCTAACATTAACTAAATAGGATTACTGGGGACATACAAACCATAGAACGTGGGAAAGATTTTTTTTTTAAAAAAACACCTCTTTTGAACTTCATGTTTGGGTAGGTGGTGGGATTTCAAATCAAGCTACATAATCGCAGTGATAATTATCTAAAGCAGAAGCCAACAATGGGGTGTGATGGGCACAAACCAGCAGTTTGGCGGTTAGTGCCAATTCGTTTCTCAAGCGAACAGGTGTCTGGGGCTTCCCAGCCCCACCTCTTTCAGGAGGTACCCAGTCAAGAGGTAGCACTCTAGCTTCCTTGTCCTGCCTCCTCCAGGCAGCGCCTCAAAGGGAGTACTCACCAGTGGCAGGACTGTTCAGCTGAGAAATTGGCATGAACTGCCAAACCGGTGGTGTTACTCAGGTCCTATCCTGAAGACACCTATATGTCAGGAACAGGGGGCTCAAAACAGGGGAACAAGCCAGAAGAAGAGGAAAGAAGATGGCTCCGATGCAGGGCTGGCTCCCATATAGGGCAGGAAATGCTAGCTGCCTAGAAAATGGGATGCTGGGCACCACGTCATGTGGTTGATGCAGCTTCTTTGAGTGGTGTCTTTAAACAAATAGCAGGTGGTCCGTCCCCACTTCTACTATTGGGTTCTGGGAACAGTCTTTAAAACAAAACAAAAGCCAAACAAAAACCCTAATACACCCTGAGCAAAGCTCTGATTTTATGATTATTAAAACAATAAGACTGTAATGAGAGCCACAAGACATACAATTTGAACAGGAAAAGCATATTGCACATCTATATTTATTATACTAAATATTCACCCACAAGTGTCAAACGGAGACAATGCAGCCCAGATCACAGTTCAGTTCCTACCACTGCAGCCTTTCCTGTAAGAGAGGCTGAGGCAGGAAGTGGGGACTAGTATAAAAGCAGTAATGTGTCACAATATGACACCATGGGACGAAACCACGTTGTCCCCAATACGTAGGAGGGAAGAAAGCAGTCAAATAAAGAAAAAAAGAGAAAGAAACCAACCTTGGTTTCTGTCTCTTCTCCGACCAGAGACCACCTCTAGTCTTCTACTGCAGAACACAATAGCAAGACAGAGCATAGAATCATGAAGTTGGAAGGGGCCAGCAAGGCCATCAAGTCCAACCTTCAGCTCAATGCAAGAATACAAATCAAAGGATATCTGTCAGGTGGTTGTCTACGTTTCTCTTGAATGCTTCCAGTGTTGGAGCACTCCCCACCTCTCGAGGTAACTGGTTCCATTGATCAGTCAAGTTCCTCTTAATACTGTATTCCATTAGGCCTTCAACCACTTAACAAGCCTGCATGTTTCTAGCTCATAGACCCGTCTCTCTGTGTGTGAATTAACATTTTCCAATTAGTTGTAGTGAATAGTTCCCAAAGCAGTAATTCTTGCTGAAAACTGAGTGAAGGGAAATCTTTTACAGATTAAACACACCTCCTTGGTGAGATGTGCCAACAGCAATCCTACTGACCAACATAAAAAATCACCTAATCATTTTCTTGTATAATCATTTTCTTGTATAAAAGCTCACCCACCCCCTGCGTCTATTCCTACCAATGAATTCTCAAAACTGTGGCAACACCCAAAATAGGAAGCACCTGTCAAAAGCCAAATGTTCATCCTTTCTATCTCTAACACAGGGGAGGCTCGAGTTTTGTCCTTTCTATTTGGTGAACGATGGGGGAATTTTAATTTTTATTGCTTTCACTACTTTCTTCCTTTCTGAATATATAAACATATTCTTAGATATATTCGCGAAGGCTTTCACGGCCGGGATCTAATGGTTGTTCTGGGTTTTTCGGGCTCTTTGGCCGTGTTCTGAAGGTTGTTCTTCCTAACGTTTCGCCAGTCTCTGTGGCTGGCATCTTCAGAGGACAGCAACCTTAGCAAACGTTAGGAAGAACAACCTTCAGAACACGGCCAAAGAGCCCGAAAAACCCAGAACAACCATATTCTTAGACTCTATCTACTTCCCTATTACTAAATGTCAGAGTAACTTTACTCAGCTTATACAGCTTTGATTAATCTTAAGGTTCCTCTATGCAGAAATTAAATTTAGGGGTATTATTTAGAGTTATTATATAAGTTAGGACCTGAGGTTCCCTGTTCCAAAAACACCTCTTGCAATTTCTTCTTTTCTGTTTGCCTCAGGCATGAAGCATCCATATTTGCCTAACGTTCCCAACAGCAGGAGTGGGGGAAATGTATCACTTCCTCCTGGAACCAGTTTTCTCCTGTGGAGTGAGAAAACAGCTATAATGGGAAAGTTGTGCTGATGGGTAGTTAAGTCAGTCTTCATTTGCATCAGATAAAAACAACAACAACTTCCAGTACCAGGGCCAAGGCTTGGAATCACTGAAGTAGCAATAAACCTAAGGATCATGACAACATGAATCAAACTCTCTCACTGTTAAAGAGCCTCCCTGTCTCTGATTACTTGTTTCAACTCAAAACTTTCTAAGATAATGGGAATGAGAACCTCTCAAGAAATAAAGTGCTAAAGACGACACTGAGACCACTGTTTGCAGACATCTTCGTAAAAAGTGCTTTTATTTGTATATTACAAAATAATTTCGGTCAGGCTGCTTTTCTTTCAATACATTCAATCTCTAAGGTAACTTGAACATTTTGCTCAAAGCTTGGATATAGTCTTTTCTCCTCCCAAAGTAGTAAAATATCAAAATTTCCGGAATATGGCCCGAAAGTCTTCATTTCCATTTCTTCCATCGTTTCTGATTCTGTGCAGCTAGCATTATAAACAGTCAGGCGCCTGATGTCCTGGCTGTTAACACAAGAGACTGTAATGCCACCGGGCCCATCCAAGATGCCTTGAAACCAACATCTCCAAGGCCTGCATTTGGGTTTCGTGAGGGAGCCAAGATGCAGTTTGTGTGACTTCCTACATATTATTTCCAAATTGGCACAAGGGTAGCTTTTAATTAAGTGTAAAGGGAAGAAACATACCCAGAGGAAAGATAACATACAGGCTCACAAAGGAGGGGTGCAACTTCTGTAAGGCACATGGGGACCCTGAAAAGCAGCAGGAAATCTGCTTGGAAAAAATTCAACAGGCTAACTTTAGCCAGCTGTTAACCCATGAGTCTTGGTTTCTAGTTCTCTTCTTCAATCACAACAGTCTCATGTCTGTAACAGGGATTACGGATCAATAGTAAAGACTCTCCACCCAAAATCCAGTCAAGAAGCTCGAGGTAAGGGCAGTGGGATAAAAATAATCATTTTTACATCCTTGTTTCCCCTCTCATAGGCACATACTATAGGGTTGGATACTGGGAAGAAAGGACTAAGAGGTCTCTCCCATATTCTATTCACCTGGCCTTTTCCTCAATGAAGAAACACAATGCCCCATGTGGGAAGCAGCCACCTTAACAAAAATGACATGGGATGAAACAGGATAAAGAACTATGGCGAGGGGAGGATTTGTCAGAAGTATTGACTTGAAAACATAATGGCAGTCATGATGAGGAAAGAAGGACTAGGACTGTTCCAAAGATTTCACTAAAAGGAAAAAATATACTGGTGACAAATCTTTAAAAAGTGCCCACAGCACGAAATGCCCTTTTACACATGGAAGAGCCAAGGCTATAGAACCTCTTGTGGGAGAAGCACAGAAAATGACCTAGAATGTTACAAACCATACAAAAAAAATACAAAAAACAAAAACGGAAAGGCTAAAATCGACAGCACTGGCCTTTCTGAAGACCACAAGGCAACGGGAAACAGCCAGGGATGAAGGGAAATGAGGGAAACTTGATTTTGGGCAACAAGGAAGAACGCAGTCCATAGGCAGCATGTGCTTTCAAGACTGGATGAAGGCAGGAGGTGTCTCCACCAGCCATCTTTCAGTGCAAAGGCCTCCCCGGCAGGAAACTACAGTCCCAGAATGGAGATGAAACCAGAGAGAAACCTGGGTGAAAACATCTAAAACAGAAAGAAGAAGAGTTACAAACCTTTTAACTCTATATCCCATCATAAGAGCTCAATTATGTATTGGAATGCAGTGATTGCATCCTGCAATAGCTTCAGGCAGCACTTCTGGCTCTGCTGCACAACTTCAGAAATGTTTTAAATTCACCAAGCTTCATCCTTGCACAGCAAGAACAAGGGGATACTGTCAAGTCCATGGGGATGATCACAACTTGGTATCTTAAGTTTCAAAAAGAACTAGTCAAACTAGAAATTGGGATCCTTTCTCCCTTCCACCCCACCAAGGGCCTATACCTTCGCTTAAAAACTGGAATGTCTGCTAGGTGGTCCATGTTTGGCCTTATAAATGTATTTAACTTCCAGAAGTCTTAGTTAACATGCCAAGCGTTTCTGCAAATTATACTCCAAGACTAACATCAATACCAAATTGGGAACTATTACTTTATAAGCAACCAATTAACTACTAAGACATGTCACTGGAGACCAAGGCCAAGATCATCCACACTACTGTACAGTATTCTGATAACTATGTATGCGTATGAAAGCTGGACTGTAAAGAGGGCTGACAAGAACAAAACTGATGCAACTGAAATATGGTTCTGGAGGAGAGCTTTGCAGATACCCTGGGACTGCCAGAATAAATGACAAGTGGATCTTTAGATCACATCAAACCTGGAGCAAAAATGACGGGCACATCATGAGAAAGTAAGATTCTCTGGAAAGGACAATAATGCTGAGAAAAGATGAAGACAGCAGGAAAAGAGGAGAGATGGACTGGCTTCATCAATTAAACCACTGGTTCTTAACCTTGGGTTACTCAGGAGTTTTGGACTACAACTCCCAGAAGCCTTCACCACCAACTCTGCTGGCTGGGGTTTCTGGGAGTTGCAGTTCAAAAACATCCTAGTAACAAAGGTTAAGAACCACTGAATTAAACCACAGCCTTAAATTTGTAGGAGCTGAGCAGGGCTGTTGAGGACAGGGCGTTTTGCAGATCACTCACTCATAGGGGTTGTCTTAAATCGGAGTTAACATGACAGTATCACAACAAATTAATCTTCAGCATGAAACTGAAAGAACCTTCATCTGAAAATATGGACTTACTTAAAATAATCCTCAGAGACTAGCTATCTGATTCCAGACCTAATAAGGTCACACAAACTACAATACTATTACACCAAATCAGTTTAGAAGTACTGACCCAGAAAATTAAATAAAACTTCTGGCTTTAGTCTCTCATGGATAATGTTTGAAAAATAATGTTATTTGGAACAAAACTACAACCCATCAACCTCTGTGAAAGATTATTTGCATAGTCTCTCCAATAAAGATTTTTGTAGACCGCAAAAGAAGACTCTGCCTACTGCAAAAGGCCTAGCTGCCCACCCCATAGATGCCAACAAACATGTCTGTTTGAATGAAACACAACACGAAATTATTAGAAACAAACCCTACAAACCTTCAGTGGTTCACAGAGGGGCTGAACTAGGACTTTCACAGTAGGCTGTGTCTTCTTTTGGAGTATATAGGGCAGGGAGCATACGAATGATTTTTCACAGACACTGACAGATGATGCTCTGGTTTTACCCAAAGCAACATGATTTTTCTAAAACCAGTATTCCTTTTTTCCCCCATTTGTAGGACAAGTGATTTCAGGGTTGCAAAGAAATTTTATTTTTTTATGTGCCTGACTTTCTCTGACCACCATTCAACGATAACCACAAGTTAAAAAAATGAATCAGTAGTGTTGCATTAACACACGTCTTAATGAAATGTTCCACTCCACAACTACACAAGTCCCAACTGCAAAAATATCTGTCAAAGTAAGAGATTTAATATCAGCTTCTTCCAACATTAACTGCAGCAACATCTGTTTTGCAATTGCACCAAAAATTACACCAAGATACAAATTTCAATTCAAGCAAACTCTGAATGCTAACAAATAACATACTTGTTATTGTTTTACAGGTACACTAATAATTATATATTGCTTTGATTTTTCTGCTACTGTTTCATTGATCTGATTTGCTGCATGTAGAGTTTCAAGAACAGCCCCTATTCTGATGATTCCAAGATTTGGCTTGTATAAAATGATAGTAGGATCTAATGCTGATAGGCTATGCACCATCTTGCTTCAAAGGACTTCTCTCAATCAACTTTTCAACATCAGCTACAACCATATTTCGACACTCTAGGCAAAACACGGCCACTTGATGTTCAGTCAGTTTAGTTTCTTTCAAGTTTCTTTGCTCCAAACTCAATGTCAACCTTGCTTCTGTCAAGCAAGTTGTCAGACAATTTCATGTCAACTGTTAACAACTGGGAACCAGAAGACACACTTTGCAGTTTTTCTGATTTTATGCGACAACTCATTAGCTTCCTGATTAGCTTACGAAGTTCTTCATACAAGAAAGGTGCCAATCAGTTTAGTTTCTTTCAAGTTTCTTTGCTCCAAACTCAATGTCAACCTTGCTTCTGTCAAGCAAGTTGTCAGACAATTTCATGTCAACTGTTAACAACTGGGAACCAGAAGACACACTTTGCAGTTTTTCTGATTTTATGCGACAACTCATTAGCTTCCTGATTAGCTTACGAAGTTCTTCATACAAAAAAGGTGCCAATGATTTTTGGTTTTGGAACCTTTGTAGAAATGGCTCACAATCTCCAGCAATCATTTTCATGAAAGCCATTTTGCACTTTATGAGTGGATCTTACATTGCAGCTTTTATACAAATTGCAGGTTTACTGTGGGGGAGTTTCACTTTTTCCACATACTCCGTGATGTTATCAAAAACAGTCATAACTCTATCAAGGCACTTAACATTCTCTTTACATTTGGCCCATCCATAGATACTTGTAATAATTTTGCAACTGATATAGAAGCCTTGAAACTTCTGAAGAAGGTCTTCAGCAGCAGCAGTTTGAAGACAGACACTGGTTAGATACTGTGTGGAAACTTAATGAGAGTAATCATCCCAAAAACATACCATAAATCCATCTGTCCTTTTTGAACCACCCCTTTTGCTGGGGGTGGAGGTGAGAAAAAGGTGAGAAAAAGGTGGAGCTGGGAAATGGCATCATTCAAGTTTTACTTGTATCCTGCTATATTCTAGTTGTCACTAGAACAGATCATGCTCCTGCGGCAGCAGGTCAAAAATCCACTGTTTGAATATATTTTAATCACAATTTCCCTGACCAATTTCGATTTCCCTGACTTTCCAGAAAGTGGCAACTCTCAAACTGATTTGAGTGCAATAGGAAAGGAGATGCTATGACCTCTGCAACTAGTGATCAGATAGATAGGCAAGCAGTATAAGGCAGATTTTAAGCAAACTATACTTTTACACTGAGTTAGAAGTGTCTTGACAATACATAATACAAACCTTCAGATAAAACTTCTTATAGAACTATGCTAAAAAAATTAGTTGGGTGTGCCCAGTTATATTTTATTGCAGTTCAAGTGCTTTTATAGGTGACCTAGTTATTAATCCAGATTAAAAGCAAGTATATCTCCTTTACACTTTAGAGATGGAGCCCTTTCTACAGAAAGTTACACAAAACTAACCTTATGAAGTAAAACTCTTAACATTACTTTTTAAAATTAGCTGTTTTTAAACATTAGGTTTCAATAATTTTTTTCTGGTATTGACCCAAGAAAGTGACTACAGTGGTGCCTCGAATAGCGAGCACCTCTATTAACGAAAAACCGAATAGCGATGTGGTTTTCGGGGCATTTTTTCGCTTTGAATAGCGATTTTTCCTATGGGCGATTATCGAATAGCAATCTTTTCTTCCCCCCATTGAGATGCATTGAATAGGTTTCAATGCATTTCAATTGGAGAACCGCAGTTCGTGTTCGCTATTTTTAAAGGGTTTAAAGTTAAAGTTTCCTGTTTGAAATGTTTGAGATTGTAAAGTGCACTGAATAAACCCTGTGTTAACCCAATTTGACCTTGTTCTGACTCTTTGTTAATTTGTTGTTGATTTTTTCCCTCCACTGAGATGCACTAAATAGGTTTCAATGCATTTCAATTGGGGAACCGCGTTTTGAATATCGAGGTTTCCTATGGAGATTTTCCATTAACGACGGCAATTCGTTCCAACTGGAACGGATTAGCCGGCTTTCAATGCATTTCAATGGGAAACCTCATTTCGAATAGCGAGGAAAATCTAATAGCGATGTTTTTTGCGAAACGCATTAACATCACTATTAGAGGCACCACTGTATTTAACGGTAAAGCATTAATTTGGAAGTGTTATTTCCAAGCTGTCACAATTCACAGTGGCCCCCCCAAAGGCCCAGGTAGCCCAGTTCCCAGATCTCTATGGAAGCCTGCATAGCAACCAGGTTTGACCCAGATGTTTCTTGTACCTTTTTTCCACCCCTGCATCCATTATACGTACCATCAAGCTTCAATAATCCAGCGTGAAGGGAGAGGCCAAACTGGGAGCCCCATCTAAGTTAGAGTGGCTACGACAATGATGATGATGATGATGAGCACTAGGACTGACACGCAGATAGCAATCATGAACTTCTTCTATAGAATCCCAAAACAGAAAACATAAAAAGGTGTCAGCACAGATGGGCAGGAAGGCAGCCTGAGAGCTGTCAACTCTTGTTGCATTTATTATGCTTCTACTAGTCATAAGGAGAAAGATCACGAACTATGGAGAGTTCAAAAGCTCTCTGTGCAGCACTCCCTCCCCCAGCTTCTAAGATTCTACCTTAGACATGGGAACAATAAAAAAAATGAAGTGTGATATTCATTAAAGATTGCTAATTCATTAAATGTCTGTCCCTTCGTATTTCTGAGTTCAAGAGACCCTGACAAATACGTCCAAATAAAATGTCTGTCCCTTCGTATTTCTGAGTTCCAGAGACCCTGACAAATACGGCCAAATACTGTATTTTTCCATGTATAAGGCTATACTTTTGTCCAAAATTTTTAGACTTAAAAATTGAGGGTCGTTTCATACACAGAGGTAAATTGAGAAGAGTACAAAAACAATTGGAGGGGAAAGCAGGGATCAAATTGATCCTGCAGGGCTTTGATCCCTGCTTTCCCTTCCACTTGATAATCCTTAGCAAAAGGAAAGCAGGGATCAAAGCACTGCAGGATCACTTTGATCCCTGCTTTCCCTTCTGCTTGCTAAGTACCATGGGGTTTAACAAAAGGAGGAGGAAAAGAATCAAAGCAATCCTATGGCTGTATAAGGGGGAAATGGATCAAAACGATCATGCACTTGCAGAATTGCTTTGATCCCTTTCCCCTTCCTTTTGGGAGAAAGGGAGGGCATACAAATGCATCTGCTCCAAAGGAGAAAGCAGGGATCAAAGCAATCCTGCAGCACTTTGATCCCTTTCCCCCTACACTTGCTAAGCCTCATTTAGATTTCTTAATTTTGGATTAGAAAAATGGTGGTGTCTTATACACGGAAGAATACGGTACTTATCCATTTTTTATTTCCCCACATATGAAGAGACGGTGCCACCATCATCCATCGCTGCCCACTATTTCTTAATTTTGGATTAGAAAAATGGTGGCGTCTTATACAAGGAAGAATACGGCACTTATCCATTTTTTATTCCCCCACATATGAAGAGATGGTGCCACCATCATCCATCGCTGCCCACTGCAGTGGCCTCTGCAGCCACAGCCTCCTGGAAGGGACACAGGCTGCCCTTTGCAAAGATGACATCTGTGGCTGCTTTTAGGCAGGGAAGTTGGAGTTGTCATCTTTGCAAAGGGCAGCCTGGATTCCCTTAAGGCAGGCCATAGTAGCGGAGGCCATCACAGCAAGCAGTGGTGGATGGTGGCCGTGGAGGGACAGGCCATCGCGGACAATGGTAGTGTGGACTGCGGGCTGAGATGACAGAAGCCAAGGTAGGGAGGTGACAGGGGTAGTGGGAAGAGGGCAGGCTGTGGGGTGGGTCAGTTTTTTTAAAGAAGGTGACAGGGTAGTGGGAAGGGGGCAGGCTGTGGGGTGGGTCAGTTTTTTAAAAAAAAGACATTGATTTGTGGTTCGTCGGTTCATGGGGAGGAAATTCATGTTTCGTCAACTTTGATGGACCACAGTACAGGACAAATCGTCCTTTTGACAGTTTGTCCCCATCTCTATTCTACCCACTTTTGACACTTTGTCCCCATCTCTATAACTTTGATGGACCACAGTACAGGACAAATTGTCCTTTTGACAGTTTGTCCCCATCTCTAATCTACCCACTACCATCAATCAGCTTAAACATATCTCTAGATTCATAAGAACACAGAATTTGTTTTGTTCACCTTATGGGAAAGCAAAGATTTCCAGAATGTTCAGCCCTGTACTATATTGGCGCAAGTACAGGTAAGCATGATAGAAAGTCTTTCCCTTCTAAGATATATGACATCATGTCTCTGCAACTTGCCTTGCGAGCTTTCTTCTGGTTTTCCTGTGCTTTATGGAGGTGCACCTGCCCTTTTTTGACATAATCCTCTGAATCCAGAATGTTCTTCTCTATTCGGTCAATCATTTCTCCCTAAATACAGTCAAAAGAGAGAGGGTAAGGTTCATGTAAGGTAAAAGAAATTCAAGTTCAGTAGTAGTGGTGGGAGATAACAAGCTTTCTGAAGCAAAAATACAAGGCTGAACGAAGAAAACAGGACTAAGAAGCTCTACTGTGCATAGGCAGGAGGCAGGGCTAAGGCTGTGCAGGGGTACTGGGGGTGCAACGTGAAACAAGTTATTCATCTAAGTAAAAAAACACCCCAGAATATTTATTGATCTATTTTATCAGCAACCTTTACCCCAGAACTGGAACCCAAAGTGAATTCAAGTTCAGTAGTAGTGGTGGGAGATAACAAGCTTTCTGAAGCAAAAATACAAGGCTAAACGAAGAAAACAGGACTAAGAAGCTCTACTGTGCATAGGCAGGAGGCAGGGCTAAGGCTGTGCAGGGGTACTGGGGGTGCAACGTGAAACAAGTTATTCATCTAAGTAAAAAAAAAAAAACCCAGAATATTTATTTATCTATTTTATCAGCAACCTTTACCCCAGAACTGGGACCCAAAGTGGCTTATAATATAGGGCATACAAATGCATCTGCTTCATAGGAGATGGTTCCTCCTTGCACAGTGGTTAAATCGCTGTACTGCAGCTAAAACTGTGCTCACGACCTGGGGTTCAAATCCCAGGTAGCCGACTCAAGGTTGACTCAGCCTTCTATCCTTCCGAGGTCGGTAAAATGAGTACCCAGCTCGCTGGGGGGGGGCAATGTGTAGCCTGCATAATTAAATTGTAAACCGCCCAGAGAGTGCTTGAAGCGCTATGGGGCGGTATATAAGCAGCACGCTTTGCTTTGCTTTGCTTTATAATATAGGCCATACAAATGCATCTGCTCCATAGGAGATGGTTCCTCCTCAAATTCTAGTGCCCCAAATATGGCAAGAGATCTCATATTAATTCAAAGAACTTTCAGGAGAGATATACAGGAGGTCTTCTACCAAGAACTAGAACTGACACAAAGAAGTACAATAGATACTTAGAAGAGGAAAGAGGGGAAATCAGCACCTGGCTCTTTCTCATGGGTAATAAAGAGTGGGGAAGTAGCAGAGCAAATGTTTTACATGCAAAATTGCTCAAGTTCACCCCCAAGCATAATGAAGTGATCTGGGAAACAATCTTTGTCTGGAAACCTGGAGAGCCACTGCCAAACAGTAAAGGGAACACTGAGCTCAATGTTCCTAAGGGTGCCTGGGTCATCCCCTTCCTTTCCCTCCTCTCAGCCTTATACCTGAAGTTCCACTTCTGTGGCCAGGTACATGAACATTTCATGTAGCTCCTGGATGCTGCGCTCCAGCTTGAGGATTTCACTGTGCCGTGTCTCAATTTCATTCAGGGCCTGTTTTGTCACTTGTGTGTCCTTCATAATCTGTATGGGAGAGTAAAGTACTTCAGGATTTGTGAATCATATTACCTCTCCAAACCAAAGGCCCAACCCTCTGGTACTCACATTAGAGACAAAGACCTCGGTCTGACCACTCTCCAGCATCTGATCCAGCTCTTCATCTGATACAACCCCACTGCCAGCTGAAAAGGAATGAAGAATATCTCTGAGAACAAAATATTCTCTGTTGTCCTCTCAGAACCTGGAAATAAATCCAGGCTTCCTTGCTCCTAGAATTCCTGCATGAACTTTTTACCTATCACTCCTGCCCTGGAATTAGGAAGAGAATCTAAAATTTCAGTTTCTTTTCTTTTCTTAAACACTAGATTTTCCACATTGCTCAGAATAAAATGTAAGGGCACACTGATGCTGAGGTCAGTCCTGGTACTACTCTGTGCTAATGTTACCATGCCCTCTAGTGGGGCACTGTATCACTGAAAGAAAATTTACTACAACCCCAGCTTTTAGTTCTGTGCTCAGAACTAGAAAGATATACCGAGCAGGAAAACAACTACATTCACCTACGTGGTTACTTGGGTTGGAAAAGGTTTTGCCTAAACATTGTTCTCATTTTAGTCTACTGCAGACGTTTTCAAACTACAGTGGTGCCTCGTTTAGCGAGTGCTTCGCTATGCGATGAATTCGCATAGCGAGGGGGTCCGGGCCATCGCTGGAGCGTTCGCTCAGCGATGGCCCCTATGGCGATTTTTCGCTTTGCGATGATCGCTAAGCAATTCGCTTAGCGATCTTCGCAAAACGAAGCGGGGGAGAACAGCTGATCAGCGGTTCCAAAATGGCCGCCGGAAGGTCCGCGCCGCATTTTCGCGCCCTGCCCTTGCTTACCGAGGGCGCGAAAATGGCGGCGCTATGGAAGAAACATCACTTAACGGTGAGTTTTCAAGCCATAGGAACTTCAAGCCATAGGAACTATGGCTTTTTTAGCTACGTGGTTACTTGGGTTGGAAAAGGTTTTGCCTAAACATTGTTCTCATTTTAGCCTACTGCAGATGTTTTCAAACTACCGTATTTCCACATTGACAGGTCTGCCAAGGACCACAATCAAGTTGCAAAGGATTCTTTTTGGTGATGCTGTTTATTAAAATTTTTCCTGCAAAACCCTTTTTAAAAAAATATGCTCACATATTTGCAAGTTTTTTTCTATATATAAGCAAGATGGAGAGAATGTCACAGCAAAAGCTGAAAGCAAGAAGACAGCCTACTCTTGAGGTAGGAGTGGAATAAACCTTCTAGGTTTACCATTCTCTCCTCATAACTCAACTCCTCCTTCCATGACTGAACTGAAGCTACCAGTGCAGAACACCCATGGCTCTGCCTTTTTTGTGTGTGCTTCAAGCCACATTTAAATGTGGATGGAGGGTGTAGTGCAGAAACCATAGTCAGAAAATGGTTAAGTAACACCCCCCATGACTCACCTATACATTTTATTCAGTTCAACCTCAGAGTCACAGACATTCCTGTAGGCTATTTCAACATGGACTTCTTAAAGCTGATCCTATTCCCCTTCAATACCATGCACAACTTGTATGCTTCTAGCTTCCAAAACCATTTCAAAGATGGGGCCATTGGGGCTGAAGGGTCCTCTCTGCTGATACTCAGTTCACTGACATCTGAAGATAAACAATCTTTGAGACTTGTTTTGAGACTAGCAGAACTTGACCATCAAGAATCTCAGACATTTGTTTTGTACAGCTTTAAGCTGGCTGTGCTATGGGAAGGGGAAAGAGAAATGAAAACCTTCCTTTCGCCCTCCTTAGCTGTGAAACCAAACCAAAGCACACTAGTGTAGCTTACCTTCCAACTCTCCTGGCTTTCAAGGTCATCTTCCCTTAGAGGATGACAGACGCTCTCTGTCTCCACAGGAAGAAGACTTGGCTGGCATACAAGTAGCAGCACATTACTGAGGCTTTTTATAAAACTGCCTGCTCAGTAGTAGAGCAAATTAGCTTTGAAAATGTTGTAACAGCAGTGGGAGAAATTAGGAGCAGGGGGTCATATGAGAACTCACAAACCAAAAATCCTTTGAAATTTCTCCAGAAAAAACAACCAACTCCCCCAATCCCTTTTTATGGAATGCAGCCAAGCTTTAGAGAAATCAGTTCCCTAGGTGTTCTTCTCAAAGCATTGCTAACCCAACACCTGAAGGCAGTCACGACAGTGGAGGGGAAGGGGAGGAGGAAATTTTCTTTCTTGAAAAGGTTGCCACTGTCCTTGGCATCCCTGCAATGCAACATCTCCCTTGTACTGTCATAATGTGCCATGCACTTTAGACATTAAATAAAGCTCTGTGCAAGATGATAGCCAGGTCTATCCTCATTCACCTACTCCACCCTGGAAAAACATGCTGGGCTGTCTTTCATCATGCACATCAATTCAAGCACAGTGGCAGGGAGGAAGGGAAGCCTCAAGCAGATACTGCTAGCAGAGATTGAGACCAACACCCCTGGCAGACTTTAGGGTTCTGAAACTTGGTACAGCTATATCCTTATAAGTTCACCTTCACATGCACATTTGTTTTATCCATGTGTGTACATGGGAAGGCAACTCTGCAAAGTTTGATATTTATGCAACTGTAGGCTGGTTGTGCCACAGCTATGGTTCTTTTATTTTTTAAAAAACATCAGTGTAACTTATCTTTACCCTCATAGGAAACATGTCTCTAAATTTGCAGGCTGGTTTAATCTGTCCCCCTTCCCTGTTTCTACCAAGCACGAAGAGACTTCTTTTTAAAAAAACCAAAAAACAAAAACAAAACCTCATCCTTTGATTGGTGGAAGTCCCACTAAATCTTGCATCAGGTGCAACATACATTTACTGTCATCATTCTCAATGGGCTAGAAATCTGCTGTCCTAAAGACAGAAAACTCTGACAAATACAATTCTGTATAGTGTATACCATGTTAACAGAAATACAGGACTCATTTTTCCTGGTTAACACGCTTTACAGCTCATCTTTTCTTTTATGTCTTTTCCTAAACAGCAACAATGTAGTAACGTTTGCAGGACATAATGTTTGAACTTGGGGACTCGTCTTAGTCTTGAAAATGTCCAGATAGCTTTGGGCAACTCATGATCTGCCATACATTGACAACTGGCTCCTTGATTTGTTTTGATTTCTGGGGCAACTCTAACAAGCAGTAACAGAGATTTGACACAAAAACACAGTATTCTTTGAGAATAGAGAGAAGCATGCTTAGACACTCACTAATCTGCAGCTGTCTCCTGATGCGCTCCAAATTCCGATCTCGGTACTCAGACTGTATGGAGTTGCACTTATTTATAAGATCCAAGAACTGCTGGGACAAGATCCCATGCTGAGACAGAAGTAGAAAGAAAGTATTAAGCACACCTCTCTCACCTTGTTGCATGTCCCCTACCAAACTACCTAAAGGGGCTACTACTCACCTGAGTTTTCTTCATGCGGGTGTTGATGGAGTTTCTGTTTTCATCTTCCTCATCTTTCTTAGGCTCAATTTCTAAATAAAAAAAATAAAGGTTAAAATTTAGTCCTATAATTTCTCCTGGAGACAAAGACAAAATAAAAAATCTTAACTCTACATTCTCCTGGAGACAAAGACAAAATAAAAAAATCTTAACTCTACATCATTCATTTTGTTTAGCCGTGTCCGACTCTTCGTGACCCCATGGACCAGAGCACGCCAGGCCCCCCTATCTTCCACTGCCTCCCGGAGTTGTGTCAAATTCATGTTGGTTACTTCGCAGACACTGTCCAGCCATCTCATCCTTTGTTGTCCCCTTCTCCTCTTGCCGTCACACTTTCCTAACATCAAGGTTTTTTCCAAGGAGTCTTTTCTTCTCATGAGAAACACTGGCTCTATGGCTTGGAAACGGGGATGAGCACTGCCCCCTAGAATCGAACACGACTGGACAGAAATTGTCAAGGGGAACCTTTACCTTATTTTCCCTGCAAGATATATATACTCTACATCACTGAATACCATTCTCACAACTGAAGGGCTGACTCAAGGAAGTCTGAAAGGCAACCTCCCACTTTGCACCCACACTCACTCTTCAGGCGACTCCGAATGTCTTTTGCCAACTCTTTGATCTCATCACGTATCTTCTGTAAATCTTGCTTCATGCCTAGAAAAGAGAAAGATAAAAATTCAGCAGCTGCTATTGGAACAGAAAAGGCATTTAGATGGAGATTTTAAAGAGAGCCTATGTGTGCACAATTCTTTATTTCATCCAATTCCTAAAAGCCATATAACCATTCTATGATAGCCACCTATCTTTCTGCCAAAAGATTCAATCCGTTTTCATGTTCAGTCCATTGCTAAGCCACCTCACTCATTCCCAAACAACTCTGCAAATATAGATCTGCTTCACCCTCTGGTGAAACTCTTTCAATGTATTCTCTTTTCAATCTCAGTTATCTCACTTCCCCACAAAACTCCACTGATGCTATGAACACGTTGATGCCTCACCTCATATCCTTTCACTGGCTTCCCAATTCATTCTGTATACACGAAAACCCCTTCACCCAAGTCTAAATGTACTCCCAAACAACCAAGCACACTAAATCAACTGCTGATATAAATCCTATTGACTCAGTGGATCTAATCTAGTTAGAGATACCAAATATATTTATATACATACCACCTTGTCCTTAAAGATAAATATGGCATTGGAAGAGTTTAACATGGCACAGTCTAGGGTAGTCTGAAGGCACATGGCAAACTAAACAAGTCTCAGTTTGGTTAGATTGAAAACACCCCAGAATTATATACATACATACCATCTTGCCACAGAATAAAGCTAAATATGTAGTAAACATATATGTAAAATAAAGAATAAAATATTAACATTAAGGGCAGTTTAAAATTAATTTTTAATTCTGCACCTGCATCTATTCTGATATTGAAGCACCATTTAACTTTATTCTGAAATCTCACTTTCCCTGTAACCGTTCTCTATTCTTCCCTACAGTGTTTCCATTCAGGCATGCCTTTGCCAAGCTAACAATCTCAGCAATTATTATCAAGCCAGGACACTCTCATACTGTCCCCACAAACTTACTATCTTCTGGGAGTGGTGTGGCCAAAATTGTAGTTTGTTTCTTCTCTAGATCTTTCACTTTGCTTTCCAGAGTCTTCAAGGCTTCCCGGATGCCATGTGTCTGAAAATACAATGAGAAAGGATACTAGAAGGATACTAGAAAGGATACATTTCTATCTATTGAATTGTGATCATCTAAGAGAGCTGTGAAATTTTAGTTGACATAAGGTTCATCTTTCATCTACTCTCTCAAGCCTCTTTTTTGAGGCTGCTTATTCATAGCATCCCAGAAGAAGAAAAGATAGCATAGTATCTCTCCATTGCCAGTAAGGCCAACTCAAGAGGACTGGCAATGCTGAGGCATCCCTGTAGCTGGAAAGTCACATTGTCACAAAGCCAAGAGAGTAAACTAAATTTTACATCTATTTATGAAAGCAGAAAGCATGTTTTGTTTGCCTGTTTCAAAACACTCTACAGATCAGGTAACTGTCACTGATAAGAAAACCCCATACTGCGGAGGCAATATTCGTGCAATTTCACTTCACCAAGAAATGCTCATGGATGATGTTGTTCTCTGTCCTCTGAAACTTATTCACTATTTGATACACAAACACATATTTATCCCCTTCCCTTCAAAATGACTGTATCCAATGCAGTGCCCAGCATATTAATAAAATTCAAATCCATATAAACAGAAAGACTAAAACTACAATATAAATAAAAGCAGCACGTATAAAAGTCATTCCAGAAGGTACAGGAAAATAAAAAGCTGAAAAATTAGACACAATGTTGGCCTTGTGCTGAAAAAATAACAAGACAGACACCAGAAAAACCTTGCTGGGGAAAGCATTTCATAGGCATGACACCAACAATAAGAAAGCTCTCTACCCACCTATGCTTTCAGTAACTTCAGAGAAGATCAGGCAACTGAATCAAGAGAGGCAGTGCAAAAGAAAAGGAAGAGTTTTTATGGGAGTGTGAAAACTAAGTGTATTATATCGATGAGTATACAGATGTTTATGTACACACACATGAACACAAAACAAGGACAAGAGACCTGCCAGCTCCGCAAGCACTCAGAAAAATCATGGTACCGTTTGGAAGAATTCCTCAGTTGGATCTGGTGAGTCAGCGGATCCTGGTCGGGTGACCAGAGCCACGCGTTCAGCTCCTTCATTGTCTGACTCGTCATCCTTCTGTGAAAAGAAAGATACAGAAGGATATCAGCTTTGCCCAAAATAGCATATGCTGCTCATGTGTAACAACGAGCAGACAGCAGTAGAAACGACAAGCCATTGCTTTATTTATGAGCATGTCTGCTCCTCTAATTCTGAGAGAGCTTTTCGATTGGCTAACAGTGAAGATCGATGATTTAAAATAATAGTCATCATGTTCCATTTTTCTCAGGGCAGCAAAAATTAGCTGCAGAAGTTAATAAATTATCACCTGTCAAAATCATATGAACACCTGACACAGCACATGCTGACTTGGCACCAGGTTCTGAAGAACAGATGGATCTCTTACACTTGGTATCTTCACACCTTTCCATCTACACTGTACTCATGGACTAATATAGCCATTTTGAGAGCTGCAGATAATATAGTGCCAAGACAAACATGAGAAGATGCCTACGTTTTGGTAATCGTAACTCGATGTGCATCTGAACATAACTGTACATGAAAGTCTGGCATACACACTTAGTAACTGCCTCTATACTGGAAACCTGCTGGTTATAACCATAAAATGCATAACTAGGCCAAGATGCAGTTTCATTTGACTTACAGCTTGGGATAATTACTACCTCCTTACTGTGTGGACACCAACTTGGCCATAATGTCACTCTACTTAACAAAGCTAGATGTCAACTTGCTAATTTACACACGTGATTCTTTGTAAAAATAAAGAGGAAAATCTACAATTGAGAAAATTGTACACTGAAGTCGCTACCAAAGGGGGCCTTCTTCATTTGCTTCAATATCGCAATTCAAGGCAAATTAATTTAAGGCAAATTAAAAACGTGTCTGTTACTACTAGCTTGGGAAAGGGAAGTGATAAATGGAGCATCTGAGGGATTTGGAATATAGTCCCCCATCAAAACTTTATACTGGCCACAAACTATATATGCACACTGAATGTGTTCCTGTGAAGGAGAGAGGACCAGTGTGCCGTCCTCCATGGAACAGAGAACAGAGGAAGGACACAGATGTGTAGAGGGCATATTGGTGGAAATAGAGCAGGAGACAGGAGTAGGGAGGGAATCGTTGGAGGTGTGTATGGCTGACGAAAAGAGGGAGGAGCTGGACTTGTGTGGGAGGGAGATATAAAAGAGGAAAAGGGTGCACAAAGTTTTAGAATCCTAACGGGCGTGACACCAGAGCCTCGCCCAGAGTGGTCGAATAGACCAGATGGGCGGGATATAAATCAAATAAATAAATACATAAATAAATAAAAAGGAGAGACCGAGGAGTGCAAACAGAATGGAGTGCTGGGTAAGAGGGATTTGCCACACTTCTTAAAGAATTCCTGAACTTCCAGGTCGGAGGAGGACTGTTGCCTGAACCAAAGGACTTACGCGCGCGAGGGGAAGACCTAGAGCCTTTGCAATGGACGGTAGTGGTGTATCCACGCAACCAGCGTGGGGTGAGTAGAGTGATCCGTCCCAGTCCCTCTTTACTCCAGCCTCAATGAGAGGGGGACTGGGCGAGACACCCCTGCTGCGGGACCATGTGTGCGGTGAGGAGTACACCGCTGAGGCCCATCACCGACTGGGAGCGTTTTGGTCCAGCCCCTCAATAAGAAGCGACATTAAGACACCATATGTTAAGGTGCAAAGTTATCGTTTGTTGATGGACCCTTTTGAACCCATGGAGTTAAGTTTGTTCAGTAATAAATCCAGTTGCGTTAATAATAAAGATCAGCCTCCGACTCGCCTTTCCATGCCACCACAGGGGTCGCACACATCAACCAACGAACCCAATCACAGTTCCACACTGACTCATGGGTCTCAAACTCCTATTCATGAACAATGAAGAGCATTTTTGCCCTTCACGTTAACACATGGTTTATAAACCAAGCTCTGCAGGAACACAGAAAACCTGGAAAATGTAGCATAAGATGCAGAATCTCAGGAACATTAGTTTTCATTGAAATAAATTTCAAAATGCACATTCCTAAATTTTGGTGTTATCTGAATATGCCTGAAAGTAGATTGCCAATGCTAGGCAAAATCATGGAGGCCAGCAAACAGCAGGTTGAGTGGCTGAGTCTGGTATGTCAATACAGTACTTTATATTGCTGTATAGGTAAAATAATATACTGTACTGTATAGACAAAATATTTTTATAAAAAAAATTCATTCTGCTATTCCAGAAACCGTCACCACATATTTTAAAAAAGCTGTCAGGGTGAGATAAGGGCAGGGATTATCGCTATACAGTGGTGCCTCGCTTAACGAGTGCACCGTTCCACTGACACCACTGATCCCATGCTTCAAATGACTAAAGCAGTCTATGGATGCCTATACAGTGGTGCCTCGCTTAACGAGCGCACCGTTTAACGAAGAATCCGTATAGCGATCCCTTTTTGGGGATCGCTATACAGATCTGCCCCAATCGCCGCACTCGCTTTGCGACGATTGGGGCGTCCGGCGGCCATTTTGGAGCTGCCGAACAGCTGATCGGCGGCTCCAAAATGGCCGCCGCATGACCCGAAATGGCCCCTATCAGCGTTTTCGCGCCCTCCCCTTGCTTAGGGAGGTCGTGAAAACGCTGCGGGGGGGCATTTCGGGCCATCCGCGGCCATTATAATGGCCGCAGGAGCGAAAACATGGCCGGAGGGGGTAAGTTTAGACACTTATTGGAACGCATTAAACTAAGTTTAATGCGTTCCAATAGGTTTCCCTGCCCCGCACAGTGATGTTTTCGTATAGCGAAGGTTAATCCGGAACGGATTAACCTCGCTATACGGGGCACCACTGTATTTAGATTTCTTCTAATCCTGCAGAAGAGCAAGGTATCCAAGACAACTCCTGAGACTGGACATAAGGGCAAAATCTTTCAGAACACAGGCCCTGAGATAGGCTGGGATCCATTTGATTTAGCAATGACAGCACAATATCTAGCAATGGCACCATACCATATGGATCTCTTTTTTTGCCCCAAGGAAAAAACTGCATTCTACAAGATGCAGAATTTCTTAGCAGAACATTTAATTTAACTAACTGCTTGGGCAAGTGAAAACAGTTTTACTTTCCTAATCTGAAATGCTGTGTAAATAAAAATTAAATGTGAATTGTACAGAGCACCATGAACTTTTGGATCAGCCTAAAAATCACTAATTCTGGCATAAGCTTTCAAAGTTCACCCTTTAGCAATGACAGCACAATATCTAGCAATGGCACCATACCATATGGATCTCTTTTTTTGCCCCAAGGAAAAAACTGCATTCTACAAGATGCAGAATTTCTTAGCAGAACATTTAATTTAACTAACTGCTTTGGCAAGTGAAAACAGTTTTAATTTCCTAATCTGAAATGCTGTATAAATAAAAATTAAATGTGAATTGTACAGAGCACCATGAACTTTTGGATCAGCCTAAAAATCACAAAGTATTTAATTCTGGCATAAGCTTTCAAAGACATCTTCACTCTTTATCAAAACACTTCTCTACAGGTAGTAGGAATATTACAACTTTTTAATTAGGGCTGCAAGGTTTAGCCAATTAAATGTTAACCACAGATTATGACTCAACGCCTGCTTAATTGGTGGGTCAGAGCCACAAGAGTTCACAGTTGTTCATGGATAGAGGTGTGCCAAGCTCCTTCCCTTCCTGTGGAAAAATCTGATAGACTAGCTATTGAAAGGGCAGGTTATTAGCAGGTATTTTGCATATTAACACAAAACTACCATAGCTTCCTTTATGGCTGCGGAGGATGGCTAGGGCTGTCCCCCACATGCGGCCCAAACCAAGTTTTCATCTTCTAATGTGGCCCAGGGAAGGTGAAAGGTTGGACACCCTTGCTCTACAGTGATAAACATTGGGAAAAAAGTGAACACACATCTGAGGTAGATATAGCAAGGTCTTTCGGAAGATAGACTTGGATCTTTATGGTAATACACGGAAATGGAGCACAATCAGAATTTAGAAGGTGAAAGGTTGGACACCCTTGCTCTACAGTGATAAACATTGGGAAATAAGTGAACACACATCTGAGGTAGATAAAGCAAGGTCTTTCAGAAGATAGACTTGGATCTTTATGGCAATACATGGAAATGGAGCACAATCAGAATTTTAAAATTCACAATGAAATAAATAAAAAAACTGGAACAAAGACCTAGAACTGATTATTGAGCTCAGATTCTAGAAGCATCCTGAATGCAATGCAAAAATATATAGAAGACTTTTGTATCAAAGAAATCTACAAAGCTTGTTTAAATCCAAAAGAGAATCACATTTAATCATCCTGAATGCAATGCAAAAATATATAGAAGACTTTTGTATCAAAGAAATCTACAAAGCTTGTTTAAATCCAAAAGAGAATCACATTTGGCCTCTCACTCTCTATACCTCTAATCCATTTATTTACTTTTTAGTCCTATAGAAAACAAGTCCCTAACTCAACATCAAATCATATTATTACAAGGAATTCAGAACAGCATCCATAGTCTCTTAGGTTAACTTCACAACAACCCTATGAAGTAGGTTAGATTAAGAAATGGTGACTAGTCCAAAGAAGTGCACAACAGTATTTTCAAATAATTCCACTCTCCAGTGTTGATTTAAATTTGGATTTAGAAGAGACTTGCTGAAATGAATATGACTGTCATAATTAATTTAAGCACCACTGATTTTCAAAGCTGCACTCCAAATATAACTGAATCTGGATCTAACTCTCTCTCTCGCTCTCACCTTTGGTTACCAAAGGGAGGAACGGCAATCTTCATCTTGTTTTGGTTAATTCTGTTCGAGTATATACTCTCAATTTTTGCTTATTAATAAAAATTTTCTCTTCCAACTTCTGCCTGCAACATGAAGCCCAAAATATACTCTACCTGAGACCTTTTAAGATGCTTTAGTCTGAAACACTGGGTATATGAGCTGAAAGAAAGCTTAGTATGAAGACAAGGGAATATTGGAGGAAAGGGGCCCATGTGGAGCCAATGGGTAGTGTTATCTGCAGTGGAACATACCTGGTGACCTTATGCAAACCTGCCTTTCAGATGCATTAGATCACTGGTTCTTAACCTTGGGTTACTCAGGAGTTTTGGACTGCAACTCCCAGAAGCCTTCACCACCAGCTGTGCTGACTGGAGTTTCTGGGAGTTGCAGTTCAAAAGCATCTGAGTAACAAAGGTTAAGAACCACTGCATTAGATTACAGTTCCCACTATCCACAGGCAGAAAGTTGACTGCTCTGTTGACTGGGAATGATGGGGTTTTTAGTACAATGTATCTGGAAGTCAACCCTGAGTGCTCACTGGAAGGACAGATCCTGAAGCTGAGGCTTCAATAGTCTGGCCATCTCATGAGACGAGAAGACTCCTTGGAAAAGACCCTGATGTTGGGAAAGTGTGAAGGCAAGAGGAGAAGGGGACGACAGAGGACGAGATGGTTGGACAGTATCAACGAAGCTACAACATGAATTTGACCAAACTCCCGAGAGGCAGTGGAAGACAGGAGAGCCTGGTGTGCTCTGGTCCACGGGGTCACGAAGAGTCGGACAGGACTAAATGACTAACAACAACATCTGGAAGTCATCAGTTTGGGGGGGCACTGTCCTAGGAGATGACAGATAATTGGAAAGTGATGAAACAGTGGAAGACAGGAGAGCCTGGTGTGCTCTGGTCCATGGGGTCACAAAGAGTCGGACAGGACTAAATGACTAAAAAAACATCTGGAAGTCATCAGTTTGGGGGGGGCACTGTCCTAGGAGATGACAGGTAATTGGAAAGTGATGAAATTAGGGCAGCAAGAGGCCATTCAAAGGCACATTGGGTAAACGACTAAACACACACAACACACAAACACACACATCAACAACATTACCCTACCTTTCTCCTTGAAAGGACCCAAGGTGGTTTACATCATTAAAAGGACAGCATTTAACTATTTTGAGGGAGATTTTATGGGATTGGGAAGCAGCCTGAAGAGAAGGTGAAACAGACATGGAGATATATTCAAGAGGCCAACTTGCAAGGGCATAATGAAAACAGAAGTGAGGGCAAGCCAACGGTATTAGGGACAATTCAGAATTAAGGGGTTGGGAATGGCAATGTTTAACTGGTCCTTTGTCTACAACAGGTGACTTGAGTAGAAAATACATATTTTGCAAATGACGCTCTTCTTGTCAGGAAGACATTGGGACTCAGGCATGGGGACACGCATTTTTTTTCCAGTGGCCAAAATGAGAGGAAACGTGGAAGGTGAAAACCTGTGGAACTGGAGATATTTGGGGGGGGCGGCGGAAGGAAAGGGAGGCAGAAACGGGGGGGTGGATGCTGGTGGAAACGGCTGAAGGAAGGAAATTCAGGGGATGGGGGGAGGGGAAAAGCCAAATCGCAGCGAGGAGAGGAAGCACAACCTACAAGGCAAGAAAGGACGAGTATATATATGTGTGTGTAGAGAGAGAGAGAAGCAAGCAAAGGGCAAACGAAGCCAAGCCGCCCAAGGGACAGATGGAAAGGGGAGGGGCGAGAACGGCCGTTGTAGGCGGGGCCAGCGGCGCGAGAGGAAGAGGGCGCGCGGTGGCGTTCTTACCTCTCGGAGCTCGCGCGTCCTGTCCCTCATCGTCGGGTTTGGGTTGTTGTTGTTGTTTTTTTTCACACCTCGAAAGAAAGCGGTTCTGGGGGAGGGAGCGAGGGAGGGGAGAGAAAGGAAGAAAGGCCACGCGCAGGCGCACAGAAAGCTTAAGCGCGCGCGCGCCCCCTTGAACGACAGCTGCGGCGACGACGGCTCCTCCTCCTCTTTCCGGACAGTGGCGGTCGCGCCTATGGGAAGCCCTTTCCCTCCCGCCTGGCGCGTAACTATATAGGCTGCCTCCCTCGGATTGCGCGTGCGCACTCGTCCTCCGAGACTCTACGGCCCATTTCTTTCCCCGCCCTTCCTCGGCAGTTGAGGGAAGGAAACTGAGGGGGGGGCAGACGCGGGAAGAATGAGCTGCCAGTGTGTTAATTGGTCACAGCAACAATTTTAGAGAGTTCTTTCGCCTCGCTTTTCTTTTCTCTCCGGCACAAGTCGGTTTCGCTGAGGAATGGTTTTAATTTTTAACACAGGAAGGAGCTTCGGAGGCCCAAAAAAAGGATGTTCCTCCCGTGGCTTCAATATGGGGCCTACCGGAAGTGTATACTTTTTCGACCGGATGGAGATGTATCCGTTGATTACAAAGGCCATAGAGCTACCTAAGTTTGACCTGTCGGGTTGCGTCTGACAACCTAATAGGGTTTTCGAGATATGGAGACACGGTCCTAATAGGATTTTCGAGAGACGGAGGATGTTCAAGGAAGGTTTTTCCCTGTGCCAATGAGTCACCAGTGGCCATGAACTTAGTTTTTTTGATGTTGAGTTTCAGACCATTTTTGCACTCTCCTCTTTCACCCTCATTAAGAGGTTCTTTAATTACTCCTCACTTTCTGCCATCAGAGTGGTATCATCTGCGTATCCGACGTTGTTGATATTTCTTCTGTCAAATTTAATTCCAGTTTGGGATTCCTCCAGTCCTGCCTTTCGCATGATGTTTCCTGCATATAAGTTAAATAAGCTGGGGGACAATATACAGCTGTGTCGTACTTCTTTCCTAATTCTGAACAATCAGTTGTTCCATATCCAGTTCTAACTCTTGCTTCCTTTCTCACATACAGATTTCTCAGGAAATGGATAAGGTGGTCTCTAAGAACTTGCCATAGTTTGCTGTGGTCCACACAGTCACAGGCTTGTATGTAGTCAATGAAGCAGAAGTACTGTAGATGTTTTTCTGGAACTCTCTGGCTTTCTCCATAATCCAGTGCATTTAGCAGTTTAGTCTCTAGTTCCTCTGTCCCTTCGAAATCCAGCTTGTACTTCTGGGAGTTCTCCGTCCACATACTACTGAAGCCTGCCTTGGAGGATTTTGAGCATAACCTTGCTAGGGTGTGAAATGAGTGCAATTGTATGATAGTTGGAGCATTCTTTGGCACTGCCCTTCTTTGGGATTGGGATGTAGACTGATCTTTTCCAATCTTCTGGCCACTGCTGAGTTTTCCAAACTTGCTGGCATATTGAGTGTAGCACCTTAACAGCATCATCTTTTAAGATTTTAAATAGTTCAACTGGAATGCCATCACCTCCACTGGCCTTGTTGTTAGCCATACTTTCTAAGGCCCACTTGACTCCCTCTCCAGGATGCCTGGCTCAAGGTCAGCAACCACACTATCTGGATTGTCCAGGACATCCAAATCTTTCTGGTATAATTTCTGTGTGTATTCTTGCCACCTCTTCTTGATGTCTTCTGCTTCTGTTAGGTCCCTACGATTTTTGTCTTTTATCATGTCCATCTTTGCACAAAATGTTCCTTTAATATCCCCAATTTTCTTGAACAGATCTCTGGTTTTTCCCTTTCTATTATTTTCCTCTATTTCTTTGCACTGTTCATTTAAGAAGGCCCTGTTGCCTCTCCTTGCTATTCTTTGGAAGTCAGCATTCAGTTTTTTGTAACTTTCCCTATCTTCCTTGCATTTTGTTTCCCTTCTCAGCTATTTGTAAGGCCTTGTTGGACAGCAACTTTGCTTTCTTGCATTTCCTTTTCTTTGGGATGGTTTTTGTTGCTGCCTCCTGTACAGTGTTACAAGCCTTCATCCAGTTCTTCAGGCATAGATACAAATCACATAATACAAAAACCACAATGTACAGTGAATACAATAAAAACCTGTCACTAGCTTAAGTGGTAGAACTTGCATTTAAATTAAAGCAAAAAGCAAAGTGTGCTGCTTATATACCGCCCCATAGTGCTTCAAGCACTCTCTGGGCGGTTTACAAGTTAATTATGCAGGCTACACACTGCAATTAGAATTAAACAAATGTAAAACAGATCTGAATATCTCAGATCAATAGTTAAAACACTAGTAAAAGGCAGCTTTATATAACACTGTTTTAATTAACTTCCTAAAAACTGAGAGGAATGGTGCATGACAGTTGTCCTTCCTGGCATCAGTACTACTACTTTTTTTAAAAAAAATTATTCTGAGTTTTGTGCCTGGCCAGTTTTAAATATGTGCATATTATATATGAAAGTACAAGCCAATAAGCAATAAACCTTTCTTCTGTGGAATTGGCAGACTTAATTCATCTTCCCACTTCCTTTTAATACTTGTATGTGCAAGAAGCAGTTATTCAGAAGCTGAGGTAAGAATTGAGTCATTATTTACTGCTAAATTCCTGTCAGACAGCTGTTACGCTAACCTGTGTCAGAAACAAACCCTCAGCATGTCTTTCTCTTGATAAGCTCAAAGATAATTTCTTAGTCCTCTTCATAGCTCAAACCACTGTGTGTTATATTCCATCTAATCTTGTTTGACAAACATATCTTGTTTGGTGATCCTCATAAAGTTTCTGAAGTGTGTGAGAGATGTTCAAGAAGTGGTTTATCATTGCCACACAAAAACCTAGTGACTTTCCATTACCAAGTGAGGACTTGAACCCGGGTCTTCTGAGTCCTAGTCCAACACTTTACCCATTACTTTTGTTAAGTCGGTCCAGATGTCTAATTACTTGTGAGCAGAGGTGGTCCCAACACCCATGTTATCCCAATCAGGAGTATATTATGCAGTTAGAGAGTTAGGAAAGAGGTTATATAGCAAATTAGATGTAGGTGGCTCCTCTGTTGGTAATCCAGTGTTGGAAATCCAAACGCTGTCCCATCAGTAGATACTTGCTGCCACTGGTTATGAGTAAAATTATATTTTATATAATATTATCCCATCTCCAAAATAATTTTTAGGATGGTAAACTGTAAGAAAGAACATCTTAAATTATCAGGGATGTAGAGAAATTGCCTGAAAGAGGGGGCTCCAACATTCAGAGCCAGAGCGAGAAAAATAATCAAAGCCTGTATATCTAGGAAGAAGCCCATCAAAAAATAACAGTACTTAGTCTGAATAGAGTTATATTGTGTCAGGGTGTAAAGGGATATATGGAAGGGGATTTTTAAAAATTGTACATGGTATGGATGAAGTAGCTGTCTGGGTAGCTCAATGAGTTAAGTATTTTGCTGCAAAACCAGAGGTTTGGAGTTCAGTTTCCCACTGTACAGCCCAAAGACCCTGAGCAAGCTGCACAATTCCAGAGCTGCTGCCAGAAGAAGGGAATGGAAGACCACTTCTGAGAACTCTCTGCCTAGAAAACCCTGAAAATGGTTGCCATTACTCAGAATTGACTTGATGGCACACAATTACAGTGGTGCCTCACTAGACAGTTCCCCCACATGACAGTTTTTTCGCTAGACATTGACTTTTTGCGATCGCTATAGCGATTCGCAAGACAGTGATTCCTATGGGGGAATTTCGCTGGACAATGTTTCATCCCTGCTTCGCAAACCAATTTTCGCTAGACAACGATTTTGACAGCTCCCTCTGCGCTCGCAAAACGGGTGTTTTCGGGACCTAAGCTTCGCAAGACAGCTATTTAAACAGCTGATCGGTGGTTCGCAAAGCAGCTTTCCTATGGCCGATCTTCGATAGACAACGACGATTCTTCCCCATTGGAACGCATTAAACAGGTTTCAATGCATTCCAATAGGGAAATGCTTTTCGCTAGACAATGATTTCGCTAAACAGCGATTTCAGTGGAACGGATAATCATCATCTAGCGAGGCACCACTGTATTATTATCATTAAGGAAGAAGTGGATTCAAGGAAGATTTTCCTTTTTTATAATAATAGATTTGAAGGTCATCAGAGCAGCAAGTTCAGAGCTTTAAAAAAATACATATGTTTTTTTAGAGTTTTCAGAAAGCCTGAGAAATGACAAAGGTCTTTGGTGTTGGAAAGTCAACAATCAGGCATCAGACAAACATCCTTTGAGAGAACACTCCAGTAATTAGCAACCTGTCTGCAGGATGGGGTCTAAAAGCAGCCCTTATCTTGGAGAGGGGATGTGGGTCAGAAAATCAGCAGTTTGAGAACCAGACATTTTCAGTGGAGCTGACAAAGACCTGCGGCGTCGCTGGTACCAGTTGTATTGGCTCTTGCCTTTCCATTGGACTATTTCAACGACGTGGAGAGGGGATTTGCTGCTTGGGTAACAGCCTATCCTCCATATTATTTTACCCAGGCTTCGTGCTCTGGAGAGGACACTCTCCAAGTCCTCCATACAGAGCACGTTACCATAGTCTCTCGAGACTGAAGGATGCCTATGATGACAAAGACCAGGATGTGTTTTGCCTCCCCATGGTGAATATGAGATTTGATTCCATTCTACTTCGGGGGGGGATGTTACAGTATTCGCAGATGTGTTTCATGTTTTTGGAGTGTACTTGTAGATATGTAAATAAACATTGATTTATAAAGCCACACTGAAAGTCCCCAGTGTACTTGCTCTCCCTCCTTCCAGCACACTCTCATATCACAAGGAAACAGACTCTGCAACCTCTCGGGAAAGTGAGCTGAGCCAGTGGTGTGGGGCAGAAGGTTACATCTGGGTTTGGGATTTTTTTTGCTGCTTTGCAGGTGGAGGGGCTTGGGGTTTCTGTTGCTAGGAGGACTACGGGAGCCTTGGCAGCTCTAGGCGTGCATCAGGCCAGTCCTTTTGCTGGCTGCCTTGGCAGCGTGCCCTGTCTGTCTGTGTCAATAGCGCAGCCAGTGACTCAGGAGGTTGCAAAGCTCCGTGAAGGGAACAGGGATGAATGGAATTGTACAACCAAGGTGGGGGAGGGAGAGGGAAGAGTGAGAAAAAAAGGAGCACGATTTAGGCTGGAAGGGAGAAATTGCAGCAGGGAACCAGCTATCTCTTATGATGGAATTCAGCTGCAGTCTGTGCAT